AGTGTTAACATTAATGAAGATGAGGAATGGTTTATGTCCTCCTTTTCTGCTTTGAATGAGAGTGTCAAATTGGTATGCGTCAGGAGTGTTGGAGTAAATTGGTAAAAAGTAGTCGTAAGGGTTTATTTTTGTTTGATGTACAACATTTTTGTCAAAGAACCTTTTCACTTCAGCTCTGTTAGTAAATCCCCAACTCTTTGCAGCTTCATTGAACTTCTTAAATGACCTCCATGGATGTTGTTCGAATACTTCTTTCAAGCTCATTTATGTAAAAATAAAGATTTTATTCTAGGCTCAAGCGCGTTCATTGAACGCGGTACCATGCGAATACAGTCATAAATGGTGGCATATAATCTTCACCCAAGCCTGTTGGATTTGTTGTGAAAGTGTGTGAATGATTTCCTCCTGGTTCAGTTTGTCAAAAAGTCTTTTTTGCTGAATTGTTATAAGATGGAGATAAAACGTCATTGCCAGCTTCATATTCTGAGTTGTATAATGGGTGGTCTCTTAATGAGTGGGTATGGTCGCCAGAAAAGTTTGTCGTTCCTGTATGAGTGTGCGGTGGAAGGTTTGCTTCTTTAATTTTCTTTGAGCCTCCTGTTTGCTTTGAAGAGTTAGCACAGTATAAGAATTTGTCTACAATCTGCTGCCATGTACCAAAACCCAGAACTGTTGCTGGATTTGTTGAGTTCATTGACGTATAAATAGAGCCTGTAGGATATAATGTTTGAAGTATTTCAATCTTTAATGTTTGAAGTTCTGTTTTGTCAGCTTTCTTATCATATAAATCTTGAGCAGTGAATTTAACATTATTTTCATCCTTCATGACATAAACATTTTTACATCTAATGTTTTTCTTTGTTTTTATGTTTTCATTCGATGTTAAACCTTGTGGAAAGTTAGGAGGTTTACAATATAATGCATCCCCATCAGTTCCGTCAACCGTTCCTTCAATACTTTCTATAGCAACAGTTGAGAAGGAGTTATGTGTATGTTCTTTATCTGCTTTCTTATCTAACATTGCTGGTAGTTCATGTGTTTCAAAGTTTCTGACATGTCCTTCAATATTCATACATTTGTTATTTAAGGAGTTTAGTGTATCTTTTACGCTTGTACTTGGATTCTCTAAAGGTGCACTTGAACCAAGGGTATAGTTCAATATTATGTCGTCTGCTCTAACAGTAGTGAAGGATTCATGTGTATGGTTCTTGTCAGCTTTACTATTTAATGTAGCTTGAAGTTCATTTATATCGGAGATATTGTGTTTATGAGATTTCAAAACTTTGTTCATTGCGTCAAGTTCATCTTTGTCAGCTTTACTTTTAATAGCATCTTCAAAAGTTATTTTTGCCTTAACCCTCAAAGTAAATCTTGGTTCAACTAATACACCGTTAACAGAGAAGTATGAAGCATAAATTTCATCGTTATAACCAAATGCTTCTGGTGCTTTACCCGTGTCATACTGTACAGTACAGCTTATGTCATAACCTTTAGCACGAATGAATTTATATCTTCTTTCATTAACATCTTCAGTGCTTATTTGTTCATCCTGTGTTAAATATCCATGGTAGTCCGTTATAATCTGTTCATCTGAACTTATATAATGAACATGGTTTTTGTCTGCTTTTTCGGCTAATTTCTCTTCTATCTCATTTATTTCAAGTTCATGCCTACCACCACCTCCCGCAGAAGTATTTTTCTTCAGCTCTTGAAGAACGTCCACTTCGCCATCTTTGGTGTCAATAATGAGACTTTGAGTTAAAACCTTTCCTGTCTTAATGGATGTTTGTAAAACTTCTTCTTCACCGTGTTCGGGGTCATGGTCGTCATCATATCTTGTGAAATCAGAGATGTTGTCATACATTAAGCATATCTGTCTCAAAAGTTCTGCTATTTGAAACTGGAACGAAAGATATACAGAACTTTCATCATCTCCTAAAGTCAAGTCTGCTTTCTTAAGTATTTCTTGAATGTATGCAATGAGAACAGAGTACCTTGGAAAATATTCGAACAATATTTCATTAGCTGTTGGTTTTGGTGGTTCTTTGGAGTTTCTGTTGTTTCAGTTCCTTCTGTAGGTTCTGTTGGAGTTTCTGCATCTCTTGACTTCAATGCTCTTGCTCTCAAAGACCTAAATGTTAGAGCACCAGGTTTTACAAAGGACTTTATAAATGCTTTAATAGTTCCTGGTAAGTTATTGTTAGCATTAAGTAAGTTCCTTATGCTTCCATCATGTACGTCCATAGCACTATGTAAAAAATCTATACTTTTCTTGTAGTCAGCAATAGACTGACTGTGATTTTTTAAAGATTTGTCAATACCTTTAAGCCAATCTTCATGCATGTCTGATACTGAGCCAAGAATATCATTTGCTTCCTTTAGTGTATTTTGTGCTTCTCGTAAAGTATCCAATCCCGTACGTGCATTGTTTGCTATACGTCTTACAGTATCTATTTGACTCCTTGTTTCTTGCATCCAACCAGATAAAGTTTTAATAGTATCCGAACCATTTGAAATGAAGTTCAAAGCATTTTTAACGTCATCTAAAACTTCTTCACCAAGTACTGCCCATATCTTTCCGATTTGGTATTGAAGAACTCCATATGAAGCAGCTGTTAAACCAGTATTTATAAGGTTCCATATCCATGATTTAGCAGTTTTTCCATCCTTTCCATCTTCACCATCCAAACCGTTTTCGCCTTGAGGTCCTTGTATTCCTTGTATTCCTTGTATTCCTTGTGGTCCTTGAGGTCCGGTGTCACCCTTCTCTCCTTTCAGTTCATCTTTATGTTCGTTATAATATTCTAATGTCATAAGGTGTACATCATTACTGCTACCAGCAACGCCGAGAATTTGTTTCTCATTCATGACTAAATTCTTTAGGCATTTAATGTTGTCGTCAAATCGAAAGCTCTTTAACAATTCAATGAGAACATTTAATACTTTCACTAATGAGGCATCTACTGTAGAATTTATATATTGCACCGTTCCATCATTTATGATGGGAACCTTGCTTGTTGTAATGAATGGGTCATAAGTGTTAAAAGTATCGAAATCAATGACTTTTTTAGTTTTTCCATCGTCAATGACTAAATCATTGCCTTCAATGGTTAAAGTTGAGTTTTCGTTTACTAGTTCATGTGCTCTTCTTGCTTCATTTGTTTCATACGCATATGCAGCAATAGTTATATTTTAATGAGAATAAAATGTTGTTCTATTTGCAAAGTACAGACCCAAACGAATACGGGACAGTAAAGCTACAAACAAACTTAGGTCTTCAGAATGAAGCGCTTGCTTTCAGAGTTGTTGACTTCAATACTATCGCAACTTTTGTCATAACAGATGAAACAGATTTCATAGAGATTGAAATAGATGACAAAAGAAGTGTTATAACATTTCCTAACAGAGCTGGGTATAGAATAGATAAAATTGCTGGAGTCATAGATACTCTCATAAATAAAGAAACTATTGACAACATAGATGTCGAACTCTCTTCTGAGGGAACATTGAAGTTCAGTTGTGTGAAGGAGTTTAAGATAACACGAATGAGTCATAGAGTACAACTTCTTTTGGGTGCATACCATATGACATTTCCTTTGAAAAGTGTTGACAAAACGATTGAGATGAAATCTGTTCCATACGTATGTTATGGTAATTGTTTATACATTGAGTCTAAAATAGCTAATGTCACAGGTATTTCAGGAGTTAATAGTAAAGGTTCAGTAGAATATAAATCCTTCTGTTATGCAGTCAATTCAATGTTCATTCCAAACGTTCCTGTCATAGCAACTCATTTAGGTAAATGGGTTCGCATTAGTCCTCATAATTTGAAAGACATGCAATTCAGACTTGTTGACTTTCAAGGAGAGCCTGTAGAACTGAAGGCACCAGTGCGAATGACTGTTGAAGTTGACTTTTTAGAAAATATTAAATGCAACAGCTTACAAGAGAACTCAGAGCTAAAAATATAAAGTATGAATGTTATGTATTAGGTCATGAACTTTGGTTGTTGCTGTTTGATGAAACAAATGAGTTAGTTATGTCAGTCAAGAGAACAGAAAAATATTGTGTTAGTGAAAACTGCACCAAGTCAATAAGATTAGGTTTGCATTATGAAGATGAGTTCGATACTGTTGAAGAAGTTTTGGATAGATATTACAAATTGCTAACTTGAAATTTTTTGACTGACTGCTTTAATTTACTAAAACATATTTCAAACAAAGTTTATATTCTGTTGAAAGTTTTGTATATTCATTCGAATATTTATACTTAAACTCAACTCCTGTAGTTCCTGGTGTTTCAATGATGCGGATGTTACCTATTTTCATGAATAGTGGAGTTTGACCACAGCATTCGATTTCAGGGTCGAGATAGTCAATGACACATTGTTTCCCTGTTATTCGTGATATAACATTTTCAAGGTCCTCCTTTGTTAGAATTATTTGGTTCTTGCTTATAAGATTTGTCAAAAGCTTCTTATCGTCTTTGAGTAAAATTGTTTGGTATAACTGAAGAAGGTAATGGTCTACGTTATCTGAAGGATTTGTTTGAACATTTGTGTAAGGGTTGTCGTTGGCTTCTCTTGAAAGAATTTGGTCCAGTGGTGGATACTCTAACTTAACATCTGATGTAGCGTTAGCGTTTGAAGCTGTGTTTAAATTCACCGACTTAAGTTCTGGTTCTTTTTCTTTCAAACACTCCGAACTATAGTTCTTTATGACAATATTGTTTGTCGTTCGTGAGTCAACATTTGATGTTGGTTCAATTGGAACATTAACGGCACCAGCTAAGATGGATTTGCTTCTCATTTCATATAGAATAAAAACCTTTTATATGTATGAAATGAACAATATACTCGACAAGGTTTGAATGTAAAGCTAACGAATGAAAATATTGTTGAATTCACTGAGACAGGTGCTGTGTATAAAGATGTAGAACTACTGAACAAAAGAGCTAAGGGAAGAAGCAGGAACATGAACAAAGGGTGGAAGCCTATAAAAATTTATGTCAATGATGGCTCAGGAGGTTCAAACATAAAGTATGCAGAAAGTTATAGAGTTTATGCTCTCAAAGGTGAAAAGCCTTCATTTAAGAACAGCTATTCTAACGCATATCCTCAAAAGCTAACGGATGGGGAAGTGGATGATATGAATGACAGCAAAAATATTAACAGAAATGGCGACAGAGATGCATGGAATTTGTTTACCATCAGTCAATTGAAGGTTAAACTTTAAAACAATGTTGGTCGTTCCCATGGAATATTTTTGACTTTAATGGTATTAGTCATGATATGAATCTCAAGGTATGAACGAGAGAGATGAGAGACTTATATGCTTCCCAAATTTCTTCAAAAGGTAATGTTATACCTGACTGTTTCCAAATGAGTTCAATATCATAGCGTGAGAAACCTTGAAAGATAACGAAGTCAGTTATGAGACGTTTTATGTTTAAAGCTAAAAACCTCCATGTTTGCATAAGTATTGCTACAGTTAAATGGTAATGTCTGACTTTAGTTATGATGTTAGCTAATGGTGAGTCAGGCTTTGACACTAAACCTTTTCCGGCGAAGTCGTCGCAAACGAGCAGAGTGTTTGAAGGATATTTTTTGAAGGGGTATTTTGAAAGTTTTGATAGAATGTAGTTTGTAAGTCGTTTCATATTCGTAAACTCCCTGAGTATTGACGTAAGTGGTGTTTGTCAATAATTCTTTCCATTCTCCTCAGAAGTCTTTGCATTCCTGACTGTATAAATTCAACGATGGCATAATATTTCCTCTTACGTCGAATGTAACGTTGAAGAAATTCAATGAGTTCACTGTCTGGAACTTTAACGACAGAGGCTTGAACTTTTGACATAAATGTTTTCGCTGTTGAATCCATAGAGTCTGAAGTTGCTGATATAATGATTTGGTCATAGTAAGAGTCGTTTCCTAAACGCTCTGTTATGAGTATATGACGAATGATTAAATGTCTTACCTGAACCCATCTTTCCACAATAGAAATAACACCATTTGAACAGAACTCATAGTCCTTACTGAAAGGAAGAATGAGAGAAGAGTTAAGTTTGTCTGTAGTTTCATTCATGTCTTCATCTACGTCATGTATTAAATGCTTCATTTTATCTCCATTAAAAATGCAAGTCAGAAATATTCAGAACATAGCACCGAGTCTAACTGACAAGAGTATAAAGATATACTATGAACACGTTATGATGAAAACCAAAATTCAAGAAAGTCAGTATACTTATGAATATCCAAGACACTGGGTAGAGTATGTAGGAGGTGAGAAAGCTATTGAAATCAGACAGGTTCGAAGTATTCCAGCAGGAAGAACAATATTATTGAAGAACTTTAATGTTTTGAGATATAATGATGAAACAAAGAAGCAAGATAGTTTTCCTGTTGCTATGTATGTGAACTTAGATACAGGAGATGACATGAAAGTTTTTAATACAAAGCTTCAAACGGTAGTGAGAGAACAACTGACTGCGGAAGGACATCCATTACCTTCAGAAGTTACCATAGCATATAATTTTGAAACAAACTCAATAGATTTTAAAGTCGTCTCTGCAAAGAAGTCAGGTTTTACATTTAATGAAGCAGATGTATATTCGAATGAAAACTTCAAAGCTATTGCATGGTTAGATAATGACGATTGCTTTAAGAAAATATTTAAATTCAGTGACTCAACGATGTCAATAGATGACCTTCGTGGAATGTTACCATCGACGTTTACAGTTGAAGGTTCAGCAGGATTGCTTACAAGATTGTCAATTGGTGGCATTTGGTCTCGTGAGAACATTGTTATAAAATCCAGTATAAGTGAATTTGCTGAAGAATCTATATTATGTCTTTCAAACTATATGTATTCGCCGCCAAAGCATTATAGTATAACAAACTTTGTCAGTAAGTTTAACATAAGACTTGTCGAACCTTCTTCAATGAAAGATGTTGTGCTACCTAAAGATGGAAAGGATGGACTCATTATTGAGATGATTTTAATAGCATATTAAATGAGCTTGTTCTTGAAGGTCATTCATGATGAAATAACTGTTGTAGAAGATGTTAGCAATTGTTCAGACATTTTGAAGCGTATAGATGATATAAGAAATAAATTAGATAGACCGCAAAGCGGTGAGGGCGAAGCCCGTGAGAACGTTTATGTTTCATTGACTTTCTCCAGTAACGAGAACTTTTATGAGATAATATTGAAGAGAGATGATTTTAATATGGTGTAAATGGTAGCTTGGGCAGCTTTAGGCGCAATGGGAACAAAAGCATTAGCATTTGGAGCAAAAGCACTTGGAGCTTATGACGCAGTAAATAAAATGAGTGGAGGAAGGGTTTCAAAGACATTAGATGCAAATAAAGGAAAGATTGGAGGCTGGGTTGCAAAGAAGTTAAGATTAAATAAAATAGGGCTCATAAATAAAGCATCCAATTTGGTTGCGACTGAGTCAGAAAATGCTTTAGGAAAGGACGATGAGTTTGCAAAACATGCAAAAGACTTTAATGACCAGATGAAAGGTGAAACATTGCATTTAAATAGAGTCGATGGAACTAAAGAAAATGTTTCTTCTCCACTAGTAGTTCTTCCGTATGGTCCCTATGGAATGTATGGAAACCCTTATGAACGACCATTTGACCCATTGACTGGTGGAAGTAACTGGTATCATTACGGACGAAGAAGAAAGACAGTCAAGTTGGAGACGGACGTGAAGAAAGCAACTAAAAAGAAACCAAGGAAGAGAGTTATAAAGCAATGAATTCAACAGGGTGAAAAAACAGGTGAAAAAAGAGGTGAGATCTCACCTCTTCACCTAAATTTATTTTTGTGCTATGTTTTCATACGCGTGAAGGTAGTAATATCATTAATTTTTAAGTTTATTTTTATATAATTTTTTATTTTATTTTGGATGTAATGACGAAAACTATTGAGATAACAAACTACAACGGTCATGAGTTCAAGAATTTGTTCTTCGTTCCTCGTGAAAATATATTCTATCAGATACGAGGGAGAAAAGGTAAAGTTAGTTTGAGCGTTTATGACTACAAGCATAATGGAAAGTTTATACAAGCATATGATACAAACGGTAAGCGTGTTTCATTAGCTTTGTCAAAACTTACAGGTATAAACTATGACAGTGATTTTGACCTATATGAAGAAGAAAGTGAGTCAGAAGATTATGAGCTGTTATATGAAGCACAGCAATGGGAGGAGTTGCAATACTTTTGTAAGTGAGAACGTTTATTTTTTACATTAGTGAAGTCGTTTGTGAAAACGTTAGTGAAGTGAAGTGGTTGGCGGGTTTGTAAATATTTAAGGTTAAGTTAGTGTTGTCGTTTGTGTTGTAAAATATACGTTAACGGTTTTGTAAAGTGTCAAATTCACATATAATGGGTAAGGAGGCGCACAGTGCCTCAGTACCCTTGATATGTATACTAACTTAGTTTACAATATCGTCCTTGAGGACTTTGTAAGTTTGTTGTTATAGAATTATATGACTCAGGGTTTTTAGTCGTAATAGTATAAACCATTATGTCTTCTGCCATTTACTTAGCAAATAAATTTTAATGAAATGTTGTGGTCGTCAAATATTTTTATAACGTCTGGGAAACTATATTTTAAGTTCAACGTTTCACCTCCTTTCATAACGTATATCTTGTCAATGACATTATATGAAACACCACAGCAACTAATGTCGGGTTCTATTTCTTTGATGTTTATATCGTCTGCCTCTGTCAAAAGTTTCAATAGTTCTTTCAAAACTTCATGAGGTGCAATGACATATGAGTTCACTTTTACAGGGTTGTGTTCGACCAAGTTTAACATTATACTTAAAGCTTGACAAATCTTCTCCTGAGTTTGAAGTTTGTCTTTCAGTTGTTGGTAGTCGTTTCGAATATCTGCAACAGAACTTAAGTCTCTGTTAACTTCAGGATATGTTGGTTCTTTTACAGGAACAATTGTTATACCATCTTCGTCTTCGTATGGTTTCCCCACTTCAACATCTCTGTCTTTGACATTGACAACAACACTTTGACTGTTTGTTTGAGTTGGTGAATTTAACTTCACATCTGCCACCGCCATTAAACCTTTTGAAACACTTACGCTTCTATTTTTCGGAAATGACATTTTACTTAGAATAAAAAGATGGACGTATTCGGATATCTTATTGAATTGAAGCAGAACAAAGTTTATACTCACAAACAATACAAATACATTGACAGAATAGTTCTTTACACAAACAATGGAAAATGTTATAGAATAGCAATATTTGCTGAACCAAAATATTTTCATAAAGCAAAGAAAGTTGGTATAACTGAAATGGTGAAAGTTCTTGAAGCAGACAAAAATATAACTTCAAAACTGACCGATATTACTAAAGGAAAGTTTATAATACAATATATATATTATGTCAAAACTGGCGTACTGTCAATATTTGACGGAGAAAAGTCAGTTCAAGAACAACTTACTGACCTGCTGCCAAAATCTGCTCGATGGAAGCTGTCGTTATGCCAATCTGAGGAGCCCCAGCAGGTTTCATCGAACGAATCTTCAAAAGAGCATCTTCCGTGAAAAGTGCTATTGGTTTTTGTAAACTTCTTTGCTCTCTCAATTCATCTGGACCGTCTCTGTCACCAGTATATTGTATTTGTACAGTACCAACAGTTGAAATACACCCATAAAGTCTTCTGAGTCAGCAAATGGAATGCCAAGCCAAAAGTTTGAACGTCTCCATTTGTATATTGAGTTTTTTGACCTCCTGTATGAGTCCATACTTTCACATATGGCATAATAGAATTTTGCATTTCAGGGTTAATGGTTGTTGTGAAGTTGTTGTTAAAGTTCATAGCATCTAATGTCAAGTTGTATGACCTCATATCCTCAACTGTAGAATATTCTTCTCTTGGATAATATTTGCCATCTATGTTTATATGATATTTAATACAGGGTTGTAGAAACAAGAATAGTCATTTATAGTTCGTCTGAACAGTACAAACATAGTATCTGCATGTTTCATTGCAGTTGTTAAAGCAATATCTGTTCTTGCACCTGCGGCTCCTGGATTTTGGTTTCCAACTTCACCTGCAAAGTCTTTGACAGATATTTGGTGTATAGGGAACATAAGTGGAACTGCAATATATTTGGCAGCTAAAGCATTTGAAATATCTGGGTCCAACATATAGACTGCAAGTCTGCTTCTATTCTCTTGCATTCAAACTGTTCGCATGTGAACTTAACTGGGTCCCAAGCAGTTCCAGCAGCATTGAAATAATAGTTTCTTCATTGTTGAAGTTTGAGAAACCAAAGTCTAAGTCAACTTTGTCTTTGCAAAATTCGGCGAATGACGTTTGATTTGTTCCCTTTACGTCTGTAATAGTGAATGGGTCTTGTGTTGGTGCAATGACTAAGTTATTTTTGCTTGGAGTAAGTTCAATAGAAATTTTTCCTGCCCAGTTTGGCAAGTATCTTAAAAACCTGAAGATGAGGAAAGATGACAAAGGAACTCTAAGTTTCAGTTTTACTTTGGTTACTGCTGCTGCAGTTTGTCCAGAAAGGTCAACATAAACTCCTGGAACGTTAGGGTCAAGTCTTCTTATTTTCTCAATAGTTGCATACTGGTCTGTTTGTTCTCTAGCTTGTGGTTGTACTGAGTTTCTCAAAGCGAACCATTCATAGTTTGCCCATGTTACTGTTTGAACTAAGTCAGAGTTAGAATATATCTTATATCCCATGAAAACTTCTGGAGCATATTGGTATCCGACATAGAAAATTCCATTGCAACCTTTCTTGTCAGACAACTTGCAGAAGGTTTTATTTCAATGTCTTGTTCCACGTATAAGAATGAGTTGTCAATAGAAATAATATGAAACCTGTCGCAAGCAATATCTACTGTTGTTGAAGAACCTTCTCCAAACTCACCTACGTTTCCATAAGAAACAGCAGTTGTATATTTGTAAGTTCCAGGAACTATTTCTGACCTTCTAATGGCATTGTCGCATTCGTTATACCATTCGGAAACATTTCCGTTCATGGCATCCAAAACTGTTGGCGTTATATTCTGAGCGGCGTACATTTCATATGGGTAAAAATATAGAATAGTTGGATTTATGTGTCATAATAGAACCCACTCGGACCAAGCTTTACTTTCATCCTGACTGAGTTTTTAACTCTTCTTTTTCCTTCATTGCCACTACTTTCACTAGATGAAGTTACTTCTTCACTACTTTCACTTTGTTCTACTCTTCTCTTCTTCTTTGGTGTCGCTTTTGGTAACTTGCCCTCTGCTTCAAGTTGTTGCATCTTTGCCTCATGTTCACCTAGTATGTTGTAAATTTCCCATGTCCTTTTTGCCTTTGGGCTCTGGTCGCCCATCTCAGGTAACCTATATCCTAGAAAGATTTTGTCATAGTTTGTATTCGAGTCTTCGCGTATTGTTTGCATGACTCTTTCCTGAGTTTCCGGTTCAAGCTCTTCAAACAGAGCTTGTCCATATGGAATAAGCTCGTTTCCAAATATATGTTTTTGTAGCCATTCTGGTTTTCTTTCTATGTTACCAATAATATCTTTTGTGAATGGGAAAGCTTTTACCCAACGTTTCAGTCTTGCGTCATTTATTTCTGTAGTTGGTTTTATTTTGTCATGGAACATGTTTTTCAATACTAACATTTCATTTGGTACTGTCCATTTGAGTTTTCTTAAATATTCATCCCTTCTCGGTTCATTGTCTGCAAAGTAAGTTTTTATGACATTTTGCAAACTTTCGTTTGCAAGGTCATGTACAATAGGTTCTCTTCCTTCTCTCTCCCTAACTCTCTTTCTAAACTCTTCACCAAATATACCATCTCTATGGTTCTGTGTAGTTCTTTGAGATAAATGTTCTAGAACGTCAGGTGTTATATTTCCCTCAGCCATGTTCATTTCATACTGGTCCAAAATATCTGCATCTTTCATATCTTTCAATGGCATTAAAGCCGCGCTGAAAATACCAGCTATATCTGGTTCACCATTCACTTCCATTGCGTCTACAACTTCTTGGAATTGAGGTTGTAAGTTTATGAACCACCTATCCGGATTAGCTTTATGACCCCATCTCATTGTAGTTCCATAGTCTGCAGAAACAAAAGTAGGTTTGTTTCCATATTGGTTAGGTTCTGAATGAACTTTAAACAATGTTTCATTTCTATATGTTTTGTTGAAATTAAACCTTTTATTTTCACCGAGTTCAGCCAAAGATTGAACGTTATATGGTCGTAAGTAAAAAGGATTATTGTATTTGCGTACATTTTCTTTCAGTACTTCCATTCTATGCTGAATATTTTCATCTGATGTTGGAGTCTTTTGTATGTCGGTGAACATTTTTCGATATTCTTCTACTATGTCAGCCGAATTTTTCTTAGACTCTTGGAAAGATTCCATATTCACCTCATACTCTTGTTGAGGGTCAAGATTTTTCGGCTGTTCCAAATCTTCATCTAGTTCTGTGAAGTTAGTTTCCAAAGGAGGGATTTGTTCGTTTCCTTCAGGCTCTTCTAGCTGTTGTTGCTGAACTATTTCTTCCATGTCTGGTTGTATCTGAACTTCTTCCTGTTGAGTTTCTTGTACCTCATCTGCTGGCATTTCATATATTCCGAGACCGTTTTTAACAAGTTCCCTATCTAAGTCATCCGGACTCATAAACCTTTCTTCTTTCGTTCCGTCTCTATTTTTTACGCGTTTCATGAAGAGAGTTGAATTATCATTTAGCTCTGACACCAAATATCTCGGAGTAAATTCATCCATGTCATTTGGATGATATGCTATTAAATCATATCCCTTAGCGAGCTTGTATTTTCCAGGTTTGAGATTATATCCGATTTGATGCTAAGCCATAAAGCTAAATAGGTTCGGGTCAGTATTTCCTTCCTTGAACTTTCTAATAGCTTCTTTATATCTGTCACTAAAGTCAAGAGTATCTGGGTAACCATAATCATCCTTAAGCATTTTTAAGAATTCTTGGTTTCCTTTTTCTCTACTTCTTTTATGTCCTTGCTCTGTTTGTGGTTGTTGTTGTGCAGGGTTTTGAACTGTTGGTTGTTGTGCTGGTTGTGGAGGTGGTTGTTGTGCTGGTTTTGGTTGTGGTGCTGGATTTTGAACTGTTGGTTGTTGTGTTGGTTGTTGTTGCTGTGCAGGGTTTTGAACTGTTGGTTTTGGTTGTTGTTGTGGTGCTGGATTTTGAACTGTTGGTTGTTGTGTTGGTTTTGGTGCATGCCTGTGTCTGTGTCCATGTGACGATGTAAATGTTTTAGGTAGTCCTGGTGCAGGTGCTTCTCTTGGAGGGTTTGGTGGTATATAAGTTCCACCAGCTGGCACATATGTTCCATCTGCAGCATAATGTCCTACCTGACTTTTCGTTTTTAAGAAAGCATTTACTAGGTCTGTTTTGGTCTGTTGTAACTCTTTTTCTTGACTTTCCACAACAGTTGCTCTAACGGCGTCATAGGCACTTTGAACTGCCTGTCTCGTTGCTGCATCTGTTATTTTCGTCATATTTTGTGCTACTTCTCTTAACTCTTTGTCGAAACCTTCAGACTTCAGTTTCTTTCCAGATGAGAAGTCGTTCACTAGTTTCACCTTACTATGAAGAGCTTCGAAGGCATTCTTAAAGTCAGCATTCATTAAAGCTTCATTTGAACTGTCTTCATCCGCTTGTATTTTTGTCCTTATTGACCCTATAAGTTGGGCTGCTTTAGCGTTGGCTTGGGCATCTAACCAGTCATTATTAGCTTTTATATATTCTGCGCTTTTCATTGCCTTTTGCATGGCTGCGTCGTTATTTTTACTTTCTTGTGCTAAGTTTTCATACTGTACGGTTTGGTTTTGCAACTGTAAAAGTTTTTCTGCCTTTACATTTGCTTCAACTTCTTTTTTATACTCATCGCTATCCATATATGTCTTCATGGCTTTTTGTTTTATCTCTTCATCTTTCAGTACTTTATATTGAGTAGTATGGTTTTTCAAATTTATAACATCTTGTTCCATTTTTGCTACTTCTGCTGCTTTTTCTGACACTTTTTTCGCATATTCCTCTGTACTTAGTTCTTTCAGTTGTTCTTCTTTCTTCTTTTTCTCTACGTTTAACTCATTGAGTTTCTTTGTGTGTCTGTCATATTCTAGTTTCTTTTCGTTTTCACTTATTTGTTTCTGTATGTCTATGTTTGACTTTTTGACATCTGTTATTGATTTTTGAGTGAACTCAAATTCATTTGACTTTGAGGGTTATAAGCTGTTCCGTCTGCAGCTCCACCATAGCCTGCCATTTTCGCTAAAAGTGCCGCTCTTAAACCTCCACTCTGTGCACCAATAACTCGGTTTAAAAGCATAGGGTTGCTTGACATTTGTTGCAACATAGTGGGGTCATTCATCATTTGTTGTTGCAACTGTTGTTGTGGTGTCAGTTTTACTATTGGATGTTTCAATGTTCCCTTCCTCTTACGTATATTCTTACGTAGCTTACGTGGCATTTTAAGTGAAGTTAAAAAGCGGTTTTTAACAGATGTTTATATGACACTTTTTGTTCAGCACAAAAAACTACTCGGTCAAAGTGTTGTCAGTTTTGTAAAATAACCGTCCTATCTCATTCTATAAGGGGAAAAGGGCTTCTCAAAGTATACTTCCTTGGAACGCCTGTAACTTTTCCTGTAGCGACGATAGACCCTTACTTGTCCGGACAAAGTTATACTATTTTGAGTGCTCTACAAAAAAGTCAACGGCGACGACTCTCAAAAACCGTTGTGTAAAAAGTTTTACCGTTGGACAAAAAAGTATATATAGAAAACAAAAAACGTTTATAGTTCATTCAATATTTGAGATAAACCGTTTTTCCAACGGTAACTATTAAATAAAATAAAAAAATAGAGGGGGTCTCCGTTGACGAAAACGGTTTATCTCAAACTTTTCTATGAGTGGTCCGAAAAAAACAGTTCATTTTTATCTAATGGAAGCCAACGCTGTTAACCACAATTCAAACATTAACAATTCTCAACCGCTAACCAAAGCCAAAGCCCCGCAACCTCCAAGAACTGGCACAGCGGTTAGAATAACCACCAAAAAGTCTAACAGCGAATTAAGAGAAATTCTTCAAAAAATTTGCTCTAAATATCTCAAAGACGCCGAAGAAAACACACAACCAGACGCTACATACAATACTCAGTTCTGTGAAGTTCTGAACAAAGCAATTACTAGTTCAATTGAACTTACTAAGACAATTCCAAGTCCAATTGAGCTTAGCGATGTCTTAGTTCAGTATTTTCCAACATTTACTAAGCTTATAATGTTGAGAACTTTATACCAAGTTCGTCAAAATCTTCCTCGTTACATCCAACGGTCAGTCGACAAGAGAATTGCCGAATTCCAAGTCTTTAGTTACGGATATGACGAAGATGAATACGTTGACGAGTTCGGAGACAACCGTACAAAATGGTTTGAATGTTATACGACAACACAATTTGAATTCGACTTTCTCGAATTCAACGCAGCAACCATTCATATCATTGCTCTTTACCTTTCCGAACAACAACAAGACCTCGCAGATGGAGATGTTGTTACTGTCGTCATGAAAACTCCTGAACAATTCGGAAAAAAGAAGTCTCTAATTGCCAAATTCGTTCCAGGACATCAGCTTTTCCAACGCACAGAAGTCTTCTGTATTCCTGGAACTAAGTTCTTTGTCAGGAGCGAACTCAAAGAAAGATATAATGTGTCATTCAATTACACATTATATAATGTTTTCGACCCAGAAGAAGGCTTCTTCCCAGAAGCAATGGAGGAGGAAGAAGAGGAGGAGGAAATACAAGACTCTATCCAAGAAGAGTCCTCCGAATTCACACCAGAAGACTAACAATTTTCCGAATAAAAACTTCATTTATACTAAACATCTTCGGGGCTAGAGGGCGCAACGCGCCTGGAAGCCCCACTCACCTGACCTAAATCGCAGAATAAGAACAAAATTTAAAGGACTTTTTCGAGATTTTATCACTCAGAAAAAAATTGATAAGACGATATCGTTAGGGATTTAGATTATATAATTTTAATTATAGTAGATTAACCAATATTTTTCTCAGAATTTTTTTCGAAATTTGCAACGTTAAAATTTTTTTTCAGTTCATTATTTCATGAGTGATAATAATCACTACTACCAAGAGATTATGACTATGAACAAGTCATACGATGATACATTCAATGCATTATACAAGCTAAAGACATATAAAGAAGACGAAATCAACAAAATTTTTGAAGATATCAAAACAAATTTAATCGAAAAGGAAGCATTTTCTCCATCACAGATGTGCAAAATAGTTGCAAATATAGCAAGACACAGAAACAAATATTTTAAATCTTATTGGACTATTTTCAAGAAAATTTATAACCAATATCAACCAATTTCAATCAACAAAATTGATTCTGTTTTTGATTATTTTATGAACAAAGAGTATGGTATCATTTTCAATAAATCAAACAAGCAATATTTCGAACAATTCGAAACTGAGAAATATTCATTGGAAGTTCATGAACCAGGCACTATCTACAGGGCAATTATGGATGATGACAAGATATCATTTATAACCTTCATCAATTGCATAGGATTTGATAAAGACAAAATGCTTCAAAGTGGATTTTATCCAGATTCAGATAAAGGATATTCATTACTTGAATTATGCTGTTATCATGGTTCTGTTGATTGTTTTAAGCTGCTTCGAACAGAATTCAACTCACAAATTACAGATAAATGTCTCGCATTTGCATTTTTAAGTGAAAGCAAAGAAATTATGAGCGAGTGCTTAAAAGTTGCTGATCCAGTCACATATGGTGATGTTAATTCTGTTATTACAAAACTCCCAAATGACAATTGTATGGAATATGCACTTATTTCACACAACATCGACTTGGTCACATATCTGATTGATGAATGCCATATGGAACTTGATCTACTTCTATGTGGAAAATATCATAATCTTCAGGCATTTTCAGCTTACTTAGATCGCGAAAAGAAAATTGATGAATGCTTCGCTTTTTCACCGTTATTCAATATTCCATCTCTTTGTGAATATTTACTTTCACAAGGTGCAAACATCAAGTATGAACCAATAACAACACAGTCAGCCCTTTATTATTCAGCAATCTCAGATAATAAAATTACAGCTGAATTTCTTATTTCGCATGGTGTTCCATTGTATTCCAAGGCATTGATAAAGCCACCACTTTGTATTGCTGCAGAATATGATAGCAGTGGAGTAGTAGATATCCTTCTTTCACATGATCCACATAAAAATGTTCCTTATCATGATTTCGAGCAGCCTATTCATATTGCAGCAGACAATAATTGCGTAGAAACAGTCAAAGTTCTTCTCTCTCATCATGTACCGATCAATGCAAGGGGACAAAACAGAATGTTTACTCCTCTTCATTGTGCAGCACGAAAGAATTGTGTAGAGATGGCCGAATATCTCATTTCACAAAAAGCAATCATTGATGCACAAGATAGAGATAAGCAAACCCCTCTCTTTTTGGCTGCATGGAATGATAATGCAGAAGTACTTGAAACCCTTATTTCTCATGGTGCAAATGTTAATATCAGAAATAATAAAGGAGCAACACCAATTCATGTTGGTGCAACAAGACTCTGTAAACGAGTAGGTTGTATTTTGCTTTCACATGGTGCAAATGTTAATGCAAAAGACGATGAAGGAAGTACACCTCTTCATTATGCAGCAACATTTGGTAATGAAAAAATGGTCAAGTACTTTCTCGAGCACGGTGCAAAGAAAAATGCTGTAGATTCTTCTCGCAAAATGCCATATCAATTAGCATTCGATCCTGAATTAAAGAAATTATTAACTCCGCGTAGTTCTAAATGTTAAAATTTCTGAATTACAAAAAATTTTATTATTTAATTGAAAACTACCCATTGTTTTAATTATTATTGAGAACAATATATACTGTTTTCATCCTTTATCTAATACTGCACTAAACATAAATGAAGTATTTCTGTGGTCAGCAGAGAATATCATTGCATGAATACTTTACATTTAACATACAAATCAAATCATGTTAGTGAGGAAAGACTTTATAAAAACTCAAGAGATCATAATTAAATAATATATATGTATATTTTATATAATATTTTCAAACAAAGAAAAAAAAATATGTTCATTTTTGAGAATTCATTTTTGATTCAATATATTGTACTGCCTTTTGTTTGTTTTGCAATTTAAGGTTCAATAGTAACTTCTGAACATCATCTGGCTTCGAAAGAAAGTCACATCCATTTGAAATGAGCAAATTACAGACATCAAAGCGATTTCTTGATAATGCAATAGTAAATGGACATTCTCCATCATCTGTTTGATGGTTTACGTCAAGGTTTTTCTGAATTAATTTCTCAATAATCTCATAATCAGCATATGCGCAAGAAATACAAAGATTTGAATAACCAAACTCATTGACATTATCTGCAACATTGTTTTCAATGAAGTAATTTGCGTAACAAGCTAAATTAAAGCGAATACTGGCCGTCAAATTTTTAATATAAAATTTTGACATCATTTTATCAATTTTAGCAATGTTTTGACCGACCAAGTTGCCAAAGGCATATGTGTTGAATTCGTAGAAGATGATAGATAAAGGAATTCTAATGTTGAAACCATTTTCAACTAAATAATTCAGCAAATTATTCTGATGAGCGGCCACTGCTACGTGTATAGCATCGGACATCCATATTACATTTAAGCACTTCATTGAAATGTCAATGTTTCCGCCAATTAAGGCAAAATAAGTTGATCTGCTTGTAATTTTAAATCCATTTGCAAGAAGATACTCAAATACATCAGCACTACCACATAGAGCAGCTATATCAAGAAGATTGACCTTTTGTCCGCATTTTTCTGTAAAGAAAAATTCAAAGTCCAAAGGAATCCAAGTTTCACGTTTAATCAGCTGGTCATCAATTGTCAATGATTTGAAATATGATATGTTGTTATGTGAAGCTTCGTATTCAGGTGTTTTAGGTATAAAAACAGATTCAATATCTGATAAAGTGTAATTTTCATTAAAATCATATGAAATGTAACTAGGGTCCTTATATTTTCGAATGTATTCTTTGAAATAGTGAGCAGTGATCGTTGAGAGATTAATATGTAAATCTGTAATTAATTTATAATAAAGTTTCCAGTTAAATAGTTTGAATGTTGCTGCCTTACTGATGCATCTTGAAATATAGAACGCGTTCTTTTCTAATCCAAACTTGAGTTGTTCAAGATTCTGATTATAGTTTGTTTCATTGATATTGAAGATCTGATCTTCAATATGTGCTATTGGTCTAAAGTTTTCGGTGATTTTATCATATGAAAAGCAATGTATTGCGATTTTTGGCTGAATAGAACTCATATTTTTGCCATTTCTATCGTCAAAATTTTAACGATAGCTTTACGTGCCAGTTTTCATAATGGTTTATTTCATGTATTTTAAAGTATGTTTCCTAAAATTAGAGAATTATGAGACCTTGTATTCGAAAATCTGATGATATCGTATTTCTTATTCAAATTTTTGTTAAATATCGAATTAAATAGATTACTGTTTCATCTGGATATCATTTTTAATGCTAGAGCAGCAGAAATACCAATGGTGATGCATATATGCTACCATAATGAGCGTTCAGAAGAATATCAAATTTTTGGATTAAAAATAAGTCATTTGCTTACGTCCTTCTAGCAAATTTACACATGTGCAAGACATTTTTACAACAGAATTGTCATTGGACAATTGAACGATTTATTCTAATGGCGTGGTAAAGCATATCTCCTTTTTCTCTTGAAATACAATTACTAAAACAGCAGAAATTATGTAAGAATAGTGTACCGATAATAGAATTAAAGTAGATAACTTTTTGATAAATCTCATAAGTTTAGTGATGGATATCTTATTGCTTTTGACTTTGCTATTGTCATTATATCATTTCATATCTATAAACTTTATCAAAATTCATAAATTTAAATCAGAAATCTCTATGCTCCTTGTATTCCATAATAATAATATAGCCTATTTTCTCCTAATGAATTATGTAGGTGTTTTATATGTATTTTGAAATATATGAATTTTCAAATTTTCAAATGTCTGAGCATGACATTTATCCAAATAAATTCAGTGAACTGCAAAGTAAGTATAAATACTACATAGATTCATATGATGCGTTGTATCAGCTGAAAACGGAAAATGAAGAAGAATTAAACTCGATTTACAAAATGATCAAAGCAGAGTTAATTGATTCAAAGAAATATTCTCTCCAAAAAATAATCAAAGATATTTTAAACATTATTCCGTTTAATAACCGGTATACAAAGTCATATTTGACTCTTACCAAATTCATTATTGATGATTATCAAGTAAAAGAGGTCCCTAAAATTTCAAATGTTTCTAACTTCCTATTTTATAAAGAATATGGCATTAAATTAGACAATTCTGTTGATTTCGAAAAAAATAAACCGATAAATCTCAATATTCATACAGAAAACACTTTTTACAGAGCAATTATGTATAATGACAAAGAAAGATTCATCTATTTCATTAGAAGTGAAGGATTTGTTGAAGACAATAAACTTGAAAGCGATTTATATCCATATTCATATTCTAAAAAAGGATATTCGTTACTTGAATTATGTTGTTATCATGGAGCAGTTGATTGTTTCAAGTTATTAAGAACAAAATTTGACTCAGAAATAACTCAAAAATGCCTAAAATTTTCATTTTTAGGAGGAAATCCAGAGATCATGAGTGAATGTTTGAAACATCAAAAACCAAATGAAGAATGCATGAAATATGCAATTATTTCACACAACATTGATTTTGTTACATTCTTAATGAATGAATACAAAATGAAGATCGATTTATATTATTGTGGCTATTATAATAATCTTAACTCATTTTTAGTTTATTACGATCAGACTAATGATGTCAACAACTGTTTTGTTTTTTCAGTATCATTTAATATTCCATCTCTTTGTGAATATTTCCTTTCACATGGTGCAAATATCAATGAGAAAGATAATAATGGAGAAACCGCTCTTCATAAAGCAGCAGGGAAAGATAGTCAAGAAACAGCCGAACTTCTTCTATCGCATGGTGCAAATATCAATGAGAAAGATAATAATGGAGAAACCGCTCTTCAACATGCAGCATATTTTAATTGTCAAGAAACAGCCGAACTTCTTCTTTCACATGGTGCAAATATCAATGAGAAAGATAATAATGGAGAAACCGCTCTTCATAAAGCAGCAGGGAAAGATAGTCAAGAAACAGCCGAACTTCTTCTATCGCATGGTGCAAATATCAATGAGAAAGATAATAATGGAGAAACCGCTCTTCAACATGCAGCATATTTTAATTGTCAAGAAACAGCCGAACTTCTTCTTTCACATGGTGCAAATATCAATGAGAAAGATAATAATGGAGAAACCGCTCTTCATAAAGCAGCATTTAATAATAGTCAAGAAACGATTGAACTTCTTCTTTCACATGGTGCAAATATCAATGAAAAAACTAAATTTGGAGGAACCGCTCTTCATGTTGCAGCATCTAATAATAGTCAAGAAACAGCCGAACTTCTTCTTTCACATGGTGCAAATATCAATGAGAAAGATAAATTTGGAGAAACTGCTATTCATATTGCAGCATTTAATAATAGTCAAGAAACGATTGAACTTCTTCTTTCACATGGTGCAAATATCAATGAAAAAAATAATAATGGAGGAACTGCTATTCATGTTGCAGCATCTAATAATAGTCAAGAAACAGCCGAACTTCTTCTTTCACATGGTGCAAATATCAATGAAAAAACTAAATTTGGAGAAACTGCTATTCATATTGCAACATATTATAATAGTCAAGAAACAGCCGAACTTCTTATTTCACATGGTGCAAATATCAATGAAAAAAATAATAATGGAGGAACCGCTCTTCATGTTGCAGCATCTAATAATAGTCAAGAAACAGCCGAACTTCTTCTTTCACATGGTGCAAATATCAATGAAAAAACTAAATTTGGAGAAACTGCTATTCATATTGCAACATATTATAATAGTCAAGAAACAGCCGAACTTCTTATTTCGCATGGTGCAAATATCAATGAGAAAGATAAATTTGGAGAAACTGCTATTCATATTGCAGCATTTAATAATAGTCAAGAAACGATTGAACTTCTTATTTCACATGGTGCAAATATCAATGAGAAAGATAAATTTGGAGAAACTGCTCTTCATATGGCAACGAGGAATAATTATAAAGAAACGATTGAACTTCTTATTTCACATGGTGCAAATATCAATGAGAAAGATAATAATGGAGGAACCGTTCTTCATAAAGCAGCAGGGAAAGATAGTAAAGAAACAACCGAACTTCTTCTATCGCATGGTGCAAATATCAATGAGAAAGATAAATTTGGAGAAACTGCTCTTCATAAAGCAGCATCTAATAATAGTCAAGAAACAGCCGAACTTCTTCTTTCGCATGATGCAAAAAAATGATGATTTTTTCTGATATTTTTGAAGTTGAATTTCATTAAACATAATTTAGATAAAGCTTCAAAAGCATGTCACCTTATTAAAATATTGACTAATAAAGACTCTTATAACAAGTACTTGTAATGCATAGTTTTGTACGCCTATTGAATTAATTCATTAACCGAGTCTCTTTAGGGTGTATTTTTGTCCATTTAGGCACTTATGGCATGGCTTTCAATTCAGATGTTAAAGGTTAATATTCAATGACGCTTAACGCCGGTTGTCAAAAATTTGAATTAAAGTCAGATGGGAGTAAGTGCAGCCTTAAGGATGCCCTATAGACGATAATTTAAACATCACAAAAAAACCTGAATGGGACTCAATTATATGGATCACCCTGATTCTAGGTTCTTTAAAAGTGCTTTTCTGGGCGGAGTCCATCGTCTTTATGGCATCATTAATGAAATATATTAAACATTCAAAATACTCTATTCATTTATGTATCATTGAATTTTATCTCGAAGTCATTAAATATCTTAAAGGAGCAAAGGATAATGAAATATATTATCACTCAGTCGTGCCTCAAAATAAATCCAAAACCAAGTTTTTAGACGTCTTATACTTCTCGGAGCTAATGATAATGCAAGAAATTTTTTTTTGGGTTGACTCCACTCTCAGCAACAAAAGCGAGAAAAATTTATAAAATTTTTGATCACAGTTTAGAGCTAAGTAATCATAAGTATGGTTTTGTAGCTTTATTAATTCACTATGCCTCATATGGCTGTTATACTTTTTTGTTATTAAAATAAAGATAAATAAGAGCATGTCAGAAAATGATAAGTGCATTATTAACCAAATGTTGATTAATAATAATAAAAACCGTATTTGGTTGTTAAAAAGAATAGAAAAATACAATTTCATAAGAATATCAAAGAAAAATATCTTTTGACTATAATTAAAAAGCAGAAAGGTGTTTAATCAAAAATCGGAATAATATCTTTGAGTGGAGCAAGTTGATTTTCTGGAATTAAATCAAACTCATGAACAAAGTACATAAAATGCTTAAATGTTGTGTTAAGGTGTGGCTCACCTCCAACAACTGTCATGTGTGAGCGGTGGTGGTGGAAAATGTGTGCGTAAATTCTAAAATACCTCTGAAAGATTTTTGAAACAACTGCCTTGAAATCACTTGGGAAAGGAACAGCTGGATCTGATGGGAATATTTGTTCGTTATCAACTTGATTTGCAACCCAATCGAAAACAAATTCGATGTATTGTGGCGCTGGAACTATAGTTGATTTCTTATACTTGTCATTATCTTGCCATGCGTATGTGAAGCCTGGTCCTGCCTTCATTTCTGGGCAAGTTTTCTCGGTACATTCATCTTTGACAAGTGAATACAAGGAAACTAATGTATCATAGAAATCAACAACATGAGATGCCAACCAATCGTTAAGATTTTCACCTTTTGGAAGTTTGACATTATCCTTCATATTGCCAGCGCCAAGAGTTGCTTGAGATAATTTCTGAAGCTTGTAACTTCTGTGCTCTGGAGGGAGCTCTTTCAAAGGCCTGATTGTGCCTTTGTCGCCTTTAATCCATTTCATGAAGCTCATTTTTTGGGAAAGACTTTCTTTTAAAAAGATGACGGTTATTTCAATGATCTATCGTTGTAAACTGGATTTCGAATATAAACTAAGGGTTTCGTTTTGCGAAAAAACGTACAATACGCAATTTCGCTAAAAAACATTTAGCTAGCAATTTCGACCTTTGACTCCACTCAAGACGTCACTTTTTTAATTTTGCGGTATCATATTTTTGGAAAATCTTTATGAATATTATATAAAAAGTCTCTTTAATATCTATATTTCATATTTTTATCGATTTTTAAAGTTTTTGCGAAAAGTATTCAATTATTTTTGCTATTTGGTCGGGTAAATGTCAGATTTGCGACATTTTCTGATATGATATTCAGATTCTACGTTGATAATCATGCTTATAGAACCCTCTTGCTATTCTGTCAAAATTGCGAAACCGATAGCAAAAATATCTCGCAATATCAAAATTGAGATATTGAGTGAATTATGCATTATAGAGATTAAAAATCTGATTTGTGAAAACATCTCATCAGTTTCTAGCTAATTCAAAAATCTTTACTATCTTATTCGATTAAAATGAAAAGGGAATAGTTTCATTATGCTTTAAATGACAGCCTTATAATATAATCATAGTTTTCGCTCAATATGCAGCATTTTTTTTTGAAATCTATGGTCAATGTCCTAAATACTGATTGCTTTGCATTCATATCTCTTACATTTTCTATACCCACATCACTATTCATTGCTATTCCTATCTTTTTCATTTTTGTTTGTTTCTCATAATTTCTCAAAAAACATGATAACTTGATATTTGTAAATATCATACTTTATAACGTAAATAAGAACTTGACCTATTAAGAAAAGCAGTAATGAAAAGAAAATCTGAAATTCATAAAAATTACAAGTTTCTGATGACAATTAGTTTAATTAAACCAGGTACAAGATTATATAATTGTATTTTCTATCCAATTATCCATATAATATCTTATCCAGAAAAATTAACTTGATCAATACCAAATGATTTTTTAACTAGTAAATAAAGTATTTTCTTTACACACACATTGTATATCATAGTTTTTTTTTTTTGGTTTCGCCAAACATCCAAAAACAAATATGCTATAAAAGTGACAATTTTAGCAAAACGAAACCCTTATATAAACAACAAGAAAATGCATATAGTAATGGAAAATATGCTTTGAAAATTTGAATAAGAAAATTTTTCTCAAAAAGCAAAAAAAATTCTCGATTTTTCGGCCAAACATTTACAATGAAACGCTCGTATTCAAAATCTGAATTATAGTCATATAGAAATTATCTATAATCATCACAGAATCAAGATTTCATAATGTTAAATGAAGAAATTAATTTGAGATTTTAGGCAATATTACATTATGAAGTGTGTATAATAGCATTGGTCTCAAGTTTATGACATTACACAATTCCAAAGTATTGACTGAGTGAATCAAAATGAAAATTGAATTTTTTACTCCATCTGTGATTTATAGACCTATAGTATGTTTCTTGAATGATTTAATGTTTATAGCATTGGTTATTGCATAATCGCTTCTGAGCATCAAGAAAAAAAAACTTCTGCCGTTACAAATTTATGAATAAAGCTCGAATTGTCCATGAACGAATTGCATATATGTTTACAGCACTAATATTTGGAGTTGTAGTTTGTATAGGGTTTCTAGGTTTTTGGATTAGATCCATTGTTTGGTTCGAATATATTCGACATGATTGGCCTTATTCAGAAAACAAACTTGCAATTAGATTATATCGATTAGTTACTACTAATACAGCTATTGGTGCTATTCTTCTTGGCTTATTATTGATAATTGGATTAATCAGATTTTTAAGATACAAATTTGCAATGATAATTCTCATGTTTATTTTTATGCTTCTATTTATAACATCACTACTATGCCATTCAGTTACAGTAGCATGGACCCAAGGAAATAATTGTCAAAGAATCAAAGATAGGGGATTAGATAAAGGAAAAAGTAGAGAAGATTACATAGAATGGTCAAAGCTGTTTGATAGGACAGAAAAATCAATATGGAATAATCAATGTCCTAAATCGGCAGAAATATCACTCGCATTTTTATGCGTAGAGATGGTTGGCCTCTTGCTTCTTTTAATAGTTACTTATCCTCTCGCTTACCATGTTATTTCAGTTATGATAGAATAATTTATATATTTGTTTGTATAAAAAATGTTAGCAATTGTTATTACGTATTTGAAAATTTATATTTCAAAGATAATATGAAAACTATAAAATATGAATTGAAAAAAAAAGTTTGCAAAGCAAATTTATATATCAATGATAATCTCTATACTTTATTTACACCTTATATTTCTTGTTTTGTGAACCTGTCTTCTCTCCCTTTCCGACATGCCAATAATCCTTTTCTGCGACGAGCTGCTTGATTGTGGCAGTTATGTAATGAGACAAATCTCCGTTTGTTTTTGTTGTGAGAGAGCAAATCCAATTCTTTTCATCAACATCACAATACATAACCATATCCTGAATTTCAAACTTTGGATCTTGAGAAATGATAAAGGATGCAGTTTCTTTATCGATTTCACCGCGTAAAAGTTTAAATCCAATCTGCATAACATCACGATTCATTGTGATGAGTTTTTCTTTGAATGGTTTTGCGAAAAATGATGTCTTCGAGAAGATGTCTTTAAGGGACTTTTCCCATTGCTCCTGAATTTGAGCTTCTAACAAAACTGAAAAGCGTTCGCACAAATTTGAAACTTTATCACATAATTTAGCGTGTGCAAGTGAGCGTACAAAGTAGAATAGACTCTTTGTAGGAGGTTGAAAATTGTTGGCAACTTTCCATTTTCTAAAATCATCACCTTTATTCGTTAATTTACTAAGTTCTGTTTGTAAAACTTTCTTATCTGTGTTACTCAATTTGAGTTTTTCTGGTTTGTTCTTTAATTTATCTATGAAGGCATTTAATTCGGCTTGTAGCATTGTTTTTGCCTCCTAAAATAAAAATTAACGATTGAGTTTACATGACAAAAATTGATATATTAATATTTTCTTTGTTTGATTGTTATATTTAGCATCTCAAATATACAATATCAAATTTTTTGCATAAATAATTTGTGAATATGATTGTTTTGGATATCATCTCAATAAAATATTTGCTAAAATTGTGATATGATAGTAATCCTATTGATGTATTGAAGGTGCAATAACTTGGTAAGAATATGTCTTCTATATTTTAGAAAAATAAACTAATCAAAGAAGAAATTGATAATTTGTCAATACTTTATGTGTCTTTTAATTGAAAGATAGTCTTTCTCACTTGACAGAATATATTTCTGATGCATATATAGGTAGTATTATTGAAGTTTTCTTAATAGATATAAAAGTTTATGTTTATAATTAGAAAAAAAAATATTTGACAATATATTATTAATTGCGGCGTGGGGAATCATCGCGGCGACCTCTTGGTGGGGAGTATCTATCATCACGGCGGTCCATGTACCTAACATCACGACGATCTGAATAGCGACGATGATAATCATAGTCATCATCACTAGAATAATCATAACGACGACGACCACGGCGCTCACGGTCGCGATTGTACTCATCATCACTGTAATAGTCGTTATAATGGCGGCGTGGGCGTCTGTCGCGATCATAGCGTGAGCGCTCACGATCTCTATCGCGATCACGATCGTCGTAACGTCTATCTCTTGGTCTACTTGGACCTCTGCGTCTTGGCGCGGATTCTGAAGCTAAAGAAGGGTAAACTTCTCTCTCGAAAAGAACTTTCTGTTTAAGTCCTTCGCATGCAGCTTTTGCCTCTTCCATTGTTGAATAATCTACAATAGCTAGACCTTTTGAATAGCCGTTAGATTTCCTTGGAATTTTAATCGACAATACTTTTCCGAATGGTTCGAGGTGAGGACGAAGATCCTCTTCCTTAATTTGCCAGGAAATGTTGCCGACCAAGATGCGTGGAACTTGATCTCCCATTTAGTGACTTAATGTAGACAGACCTTTTCAATTTTGATTGATAAACGTGTTTATTTTTCCGCCAAATGAACAATCGAAATGTTTTCAGTTATACACTGTTTTTAATAATTCATGCATTTGTATCCCATATATTAATGACAAAGGATCTCTACCGACTGATTCAAGATTCGAAATCGGTTTCAGAATAATTTTGGAGGAACCCGGTGTTCATATTTGAAAATTCATCGCATTGTTGTTAGTACTCCATATGAATTGTTCTCTTTTGGCAAAAATTTAATAAAAATGAAATTAAAGATGTAATTTTGAATAAAAATAAACAAAGATATTTACTTACAGAAAGAAAAATAATACAAAATTACGTATGATTGTTATATAAGTTGATAAAAAAAATTAAAATTATTTCGGAGTTTGAGATCTCGGTATTTCAGTCTTCGGATGAGCTGGTGCATGAGTCTTATTCGGTGATTTAGGTGGTGTTGATGGAGGAGTTTGAGGTCTGTTTAAAGCATGAACATCTGAGTTCGATCTCTGTATTTTGTTATTTGAAAGCATGAGAAAACTTTGTAAGATTGATTGTGGTAATAGTTTGAGAGAAGAAAGGCCAGGAGAATTGGTTGGAAAGCCAGGAGACAAATTTGGTTTTGGTGTAAGCGAAGGAGGTGGTGGAGGTGGTCGTAATTCGCATTTTTTAACATAGTTATCAATTAGGCTCAACATGTATTGATTAACTTGAGAAAGATTTATGTTAATAAACCCAGCGTTATGTGTAATTTGGGGTTCGAAATTCATAAGTAAGTCTGATATATACACTATATCCATATCATTCTTAATTCTCTGGATTTTATCAATTAAAGCATCAGAATTAACTTCGGAGATACGTTCAAATAGTTGCATATTTCCTGGTCCTGAATAGCTTTCACTAGACATCGATGGTGGAGTTGAAAATGAAGCTTTATCGTTGGGAACATTTTCAATGCAAATTTTTAAGAGTTTAATATAATTTTCTGTCGCTTCATTCCAATTTGAATCTGTTACTTGTAAATATGGCTCTATGTTTTCTAAAATATCTTGAAGAATTGACTCTGCAACGATTGATATTTCTTCGTTGGCTCCGAATTGTTGGATAAAATTCGAAGTAACGTCTTTGGTATATTGAATAAATTCGTCAAAGCTTGAAAATTCATCTGCAATTATTTTTGATTTAATTTCGAGAATATCTTTAACTTCTTTGCAGTCAACAGCATAGGGCTTTAACTTAGCAATGAAAATAGAGCCTAAAGGCGTTGAAAATGCTTTTTCAAGTGCTTCAATGCAAGTGGCTCTCGCTAAAACATTCATAAATTATTTTTATGGATAAGAGTCAGAGGCAAAAGAACAAAATTACCTGATATTTAGATATCAAATGCGATGAAATAGCCATATAAGATACAAATTTTAATGAAGTCTAATGATTTAGTGTTGATTGTATCTATCTCTCTTTCTCTATATTTCCTAAAGCAATAAAATTGATTCCATAAGATTTTTATTTCATATTTTGCGCATACATTTGCCGTAGTTATGGAAGAAGGGATTTTGAAATTAAAAAAAATTTAAGCAAGAGATATATTTAAATAATTTTAATTGAAAATAGTTTTATATCTATATTTTGTTTCTTTCATAGATTTTAATTAGCAATATTATTGATAAATATTCAGAAAAGTTGAATTTAATTAGTAAATTTTCCAAAAAAATTACAAATTTTAAAAAACATACTGATTTTTATAGGGATTTGATCTAATTTTTATCAATCTCTAATTTTTTTGGAAGTTATAAAAATTGAATTATGAGTTATATACTCAATTTTAATAGTTTTAGAGCCCGATTTCAGCTGAATAAGTTAAATGTCATGCAAATTTAATAGTTTATCATAATATTAGTTTACTAAGCCACAATATGAGTTGATGTCTTAGTTTATATGGCTATTCATGATACTGATTATATATACGTTTATTAATTCAAAAATGACTGAAGAAGAACCAGAATACAGTAATGATCTTCTCCCGTCAAAAGAATTTTTGGAATCTATAAAGACATACTATAAAGAAAGCTTAAACTACCGCAAAGATCATAGCATTGGAGCGTTTCATTTATGGCAAAGAAGTCGTCAAGTATCAGAGGCACAATTCTCCACAATGCTCGATATAAATTATGCTAGAGCATTACTACTTTTTGAAAATAGGAAGGTTCAATACTGCACTCTCGATCAAGTTGTTGCAAATCAAGGTCATGAAGAGCCTAAACTTACATTAAAACCATCATTTACAAACAACAGAAGCAAATTCGACGACGGATCAACAAGAGGTAGCTTTTTCGATGAACCTGAAAATCCTTCTAAAAGTAGAACTTTCTCCAATAAACGAGCACCACTTCAACAATTAAACGATGACGATGGATTTAAATTCTCCAGTAATAATAATCAAAAGTTAGGTTTTAGAACTCGATTTTAAGATTTCTTTTAATTTGTACTAAATAATTGTTTGTTTACCATTCTTACAATTTTATCTTATAAGGATATTAAATATGATCAAATTCAATCATAATATATGAATATGCTCAATCTTATTTGAAATCGTATGTTTTATCAATAGTAAAGTAAACATGAGAGTGTTTAAGATCATGATATAAACATATTATTCTTTATAACTCCAAAATAAAAAACAAAAATGAATTATTCAGGAAGATAATTTCTAAGTTGATGCTTAATCAGTATGAATGATAAATCCCAAATAGATAACTCAGGCCAAAGTTTATCAGTAACTATAATATTCGCATCGGAACACTGCAATAGTAAATAATTTGACATTCTCATAACACCACTAGTTCTGATTAGTAAATCAACTTTCATAGGAAGTTGGAGGTGTTTGAAAACGTTTTCGTAGTTCGGTTCGAATTGATTTTCTATACATTCGTCTCTTGAATGTTCGATTTCGTCATGTGATGTATAGCAAACACATATGTTAAGAATGAATTTGGGATTTTTTGGTCCTAACTGATTAACTCTGTTAATTTGATCTATAACTCTTTGTTCTAACATTTCAATCCGGCCAATAAAGTTAATCTTGCAATTATTTTTAGTAAAAAATTCAGGATTATCGGCAAGTTCTTTAAATGTACTCTCGGCCAAATCCATTAATCCATTAACTTCCTGTTGTGCACGCTGAAAATTAAGGATTGAGAAAGCATATACTGAAAGCATTTCAATTCCGTTTAACTTTGAAAACCATTCTATAACTTCTTTTAATTTATCTGCGCCCATTTTGTGGCCCATTGTAATTGATTCCAAATGCTCCTTCCTGGCATATCTTCTATTCCCATCCATGACAATAGCTACATGACGTGGTATTTCTCCTGCATCAATAATCCTAAGTAGAGCTTTATGATACCACTGCATGCAATTTTTTTAAGAGAGAAAAACGTGACATGAGGAGGATTTTTTTATAGTCAGACATGCATGTTTAATGATATTTATATAATGTGGTTCTTGTATATAATGAAATGGATGGCATATAAGGCTTCAAATTCAATTTATTTATATAAGATACGCCAACTTAAATATATTATCAAATGAGAGAAAATCACTCAACAAAAAAACAATTCTTTCAAAAAGTTTGACATTGATCTTTCTAATACATATTTTTGGAAGGGCGTAAGATACGCCAACTTAAATATATTATTAAATGAGAGAAAATCACTCAACAAAAAAACAATTCTTTCAAAAAGTTTGACATTGATCTTTCTAATACATATTTTTGGAAGGGCGTAAGATACGCCAACTTAAATATATTATTAAATGAGAGAAAATCACTCAACAAAAAAACAATTCTTTCAAAAAGTTTGACATTGATCTTTCTAATACATATTTTTGGAAGGGCGTAAGATACGCCAACTTAAATATATTATGAAATATGAGAAAATCACTCAACAAAAAAACAATTCTTTCAAAAAGTTTGACATTGATCTTTCTAATACATATTTTTGGAAGGGCGTAAGATACGCCAACTTAAATATATTATCAAATGAGAGAAAATCACTCAACAAAAAAACAATTCTTTCAAAAAGTTTAAAATTGATCTTTCTAATACATATCCTATGGAAGGAGTTTATATTCTCAAAATAAAAACCAGTTCAAAATCTTATTATTCCTTGAATAAAAATCATTTAATTTCAAATCCATTCCAAATCCTTAGATCTGTATTAAAATCATTTTGCCAACAACCAATACAATACAAATTACATTTCCATATATCTTCTTGTCCATTTTAATTTTTTATCTCATTTTATTTAATTTTATTTAAAGCATATAGACATCGAGATCCTTTACACATAGTTATATAAAAGTCAAATACATAATAAATTCTTAATTCTAGAGATATCTCAAAATCTCATTTTTTTAATTTAAAATACCTTTCATTTTTCACAGTACGATCACAACAAACAAGCCATTTACTAATTAACACATATAAGAAAAATATCAAATTACAAAACAACTTTCAATATCATTCGCATCAAATTCTATTTTTTCATAATTATCAACTACATGTTATTATATAATATATGTCGGCGCATATTCCACTCTATACAAGTGTCAGACACACTCACACAAAGCTGTGAGATTCATACCTCTATCAGTAGGACTTCTCAAATCAAGAACACATATGTTTCACTATCGCACATCTGTGTAGGATCTAATTAACCCTTTGGACTGGTACTTCAAAATTTGATAATTTGATAATTTCATGTGATATCATCATTTGCCTTTAAAACAACTGTGCGTTAAACTAGACACGTTTCTCTATCATAATGCAAAATATCAAAGTTTGGGAGATTCCCAAAGTGTCTGAAACTGATCATAAGGGTGAAAAACCGTTTTCCAGAAGTTGGGAACGTAGGGTATGTCATTTTTATTTCATAGCGCCAATATTTATTATAGACATAAAATCTGAGAACTACTCTATTATGGCTATTTATAATCGCAATTATTTCTGTCAGATATTAATTATGCCAATGATTCAAATTTGCAACCAAGCTAATGAAACATTATACTATACTTAAATATACCAAAAAATCATTGTACAATCCAGGTATTGGTATTCTAATACAAATGTGGCTCCAATAAAATTCCGCAAAACCCATATGACGTTTTGCAAATAGAGTCTTCGTAAAATAAAAGTTCCACAAAATTCCAAATGATTACATCTGAGATATTAGACACAATCACAAAATATTTAAGTTTTATGAAATTATGCATTTTACATAATTTGGACAAAATATTTCATGAGAATGATATACAACATAACCAATTTCGGCACAAAATTTGGTTGAACTCACAGATAAAATTATGTTTCAAATATTTTTCCTTGATATTCAGATATTAGCATTATAGATCAAACATATCGATGAAGTTTGCATAAAATTGATTCAAACCTATTGATGCATCTATCAATATAACTTTCAATTCCTAAGATATCAGAAATGCCATTACTTTTATACTGTATTTTTATGTAACATACGATAGAAAACTTATTTTTTCCATATTTTATTGAGAACTTACATTTGATGTAAAATATGATTTGAATCTCATATTCATTCACAATATTATGTATTAAAAAATTAAATTTAATCAGATCTTTTATTGCTTAAGTGCTGAAACGAGCTCATCGAAAGCTGCGTTTGCATCTTTTGTTTCAGATTGAGTTTTGAAATCTTCACCCTGTCCTGGGTTAATCTGGACACCATTTTCAGAGCAGAACTTCTTAACTTTCTCGATATCGAGCTTTCCTTGGTTAGCGATTGTGAAAAATCCAGCTTTCTTCTGCTTTCCTTGCTCGATGACCCATTCAGCGAGATTGTCGAAGTCTGTAATTGTTGTAAGGTCCTTCTCATGATGCTTGAGGGCGTTTGCGACTTGTTGCTTGGTCATCTCGCGAGAAAGAAGATTCTTGCAGGTAACAATGAGAGAGAACTCGCCACAGTCCTCGTGGAAGATCTGGCGGAGTTCCTCGGCTGCTGGGAAGTCTTCTTCGTCGAGAATGAATGTAATATGTGATCCGAGATTATGACAAACGAAAGTAGCGTTCATTACCTCGGTGAAAATGTCGGCAGTGTTCTTGCCATGTGTATCGAGAACGTAAATTACGGAATACTTTGGTCTAAGAGAGACAATACGAGCATTTAATGTTTCGCGGTTGAAGGAAGTCATTGTAAGAAGGTGGGCTTTGAGCTTCTGGTCTTCAAGGACTTTGAGGATTGGGAGAGCGATGTATGAGGAGTTGCAGATTAATACGAAATCTGAGTTTGTATTTGTAAGTCTGTCCTCGATTGGGTGTTCGATTCTGAATCTGAGTGTCTCAACAAGCTCTGGAGTAACTGGTGATGAATTTGTATCTTTTTCGGATAATACGTACTTATCTGAGTTAACTGGTGTTGGCCACTTGATTCCGATCTGTGGATCCATTGGGTTAATGGCGAAATCGAGGTGTGGGAAGAAGCAGCCACCCTGGTAGTAGCAAAGAACGGAATCATCTTCAGCTGCGAAGACGCCGTGAGCGCAGTAAGGTGGGACGAGAACATGTGTATCCTTATCAAGCCAGCAGCCATCCCACTTCATGAATGTTGGTGAATTTGGACGCATGTCGACACAAACATCGAACATCTTACCATATGGGCAAAATGCAATTTTATGATATGGCGCAACATGGATACCACGAATAACATTCAATTTAGATCTTGAAATGTTAATCTGCTTCATTTCAGGGTCTGTATGGTTTTTGAGAATGTTGAAAAGTTCGACTAAATCGCCGTGAGCATCGGATTCTGTTCCTGGCTTTCTGACAGCATGATACTTAACCATACCATCAACAGCAAGAGGTGTAGCTTCGAAATGATCAATCATTTCTAAAAAAAATATTTTTTCTGAGAAAAAAAAGATGGAGGGGGTAGATCGCCCATTTAAAAACTTGACCGAAAAATTAGTTTGGATTTCTTTTCAGGCCATCAAAGCAGTCATTCAAAATAGATCAAATTTGATCCATATTTACTAATCAAATTTTAATTTTTTATATTACAATTATCACAATTAAATTCTTATAACTAAGAATAGATGAAATACAACCAACATTTGATTTTAATGCTTTAACCGAATATATGTACGTGATATTTGGTCCCTGAAACGTAGTTCCGGAAAAAGAACCTCTACCAAAATAAGGAATTTTTTGCCCATAGTAACGATATATTATAACTTCTTCTAGGATATCACTATTTCCTGCACAAAACTCTGTGCTTAAACTCATAACAGAGTCAGGAATGTAAATCCTCTTTAAATACTTAGCCCTATTAAAAGCACCGTAATATAGCTGCTCAACATGATTAGGAATTGTAAAAGAGGATATATTTTTGCATGTTGGAAATGCAATCAGTGTTTTTCTATCTTTTGTGTACAAAACTCCGTTTATTGATGTAAAATAAGGAGATTCAGGAGCAACGTCTATGTACTCTATTAGACCTGTATCAAAGGGATTTCCTGAGTCCAGATTTTTTACTCCTTTGGGTATTAATAAATACTTGAATAAATATTTAATAAATAATTAAATTCAAATCCTGAATCTCGAATATCTTCTAGGCTGTTTGGAAGATTTAAATTAACTAGATTTGAAAAATTGTTAAATGTCTGTCTTGCAAGGATTTTAAATCCTTCTCCGATATTAATATTTTTAATAACTGCTCTATTGATTCCAGAGGGGATGACAATAGTATCACTGTTAGTGTAGTTGATATTTAGAGTATCATCAGCCATTGCACATCATAAAAAAATCATAAATCTACATCAAATTATGCCACTTTTTCAAGATATCATCTGGCTATGTGTAGCCTAGGAAATTTGAGTAAATACATGTTTATTTCCCTAAACTTTGTTTGAAAAAGCCAACCATATTTATAAACGCATCAAATAGGCGATACATAAGAATAATATACTCCTAAATGAAACAACAATAGTGATGATAAAGAAAATGGAAGGATTGGAGCTACATTTTTACAAAATATTTTGTATTGCACATTTTTCCCCTAATCAATCACGATACTAAATTCTGATGCCAGTGAAACGATGAAAATGAAGAATTTTCAGTTATTTTCTTATCAACGACCCATAATTTTCACTGTATTTTATTGCTTTGATCCAATTTTCAAAAAAATCATTAAATTATCTGATATATTCATTTACATGCATAATTGAATTCAATCGGAATTACCGTATTGAATTTGATCGACTGTTTCTTTCAATTTTAACAACTTTAATTGAAAAACAAAATTTGGAAAACCAAGACAATACTATAACTTGTTCAATTTTAAGCTATATTTATGCTTAATAAAATCTGCGAACTTTTCTTAGTCATTGAATTAATTTTTCATTTTCAAAGAACAAATGGGCCATAATATCGCCAATATTTTGGGACTATGCTTATGCATTATTTGCATTGTATCTGTGTGCTTTCTATTTTGGTATTCATTACTATTCCTTCGCGCTGTTCATCACTGGTTCTGGCAAAAACGATACGGTCAAGACTTAGACTCAAAGCAAAACAGAATAGAAGCTGTTTAATGATAGATTCACACAATTTATTTTCACATATTTTTATTGCTCAATTATTGTCAATTTTATATATTTTTTTCGCGAATACAATCAAAAAGACACAATCTATATAATACAAGAATGCTACTGATATAGTAATAAGCATTATTCAAATGAAATTCAATTTCAAGCGTTATTATTTAATTAGGGCTATTCAAGGAACTCGACAATTGCCATGATACTAATTGAATTATTCCTCATTGAATTACTTGATGTGTCCAAGAATAAAATTTAAATAAAATTTATTTTGTTGTTTTAAAGATATAAAACCATGCTACATCAATTCTTTAGGTTACAATATAATATCCTTCAGATTCTCCACTTGAAATATTTGATTTATTTGAAACTTCAAAAATTTGGTGAAATTGTTGAAAAAATTTTAAATTTTTGAACTACTTAGAGTCAGTACACAATGAATCCTCTTATTTTAAAGAATTTTATTTTGCACGTTTAAAATTATTTTTCATATCACATGTCGAAAATTGTTACAATTTTTAAAATGAATTTATCATCTTTTGGCATTGACAAAGTCGAAACACCACCGAAAACAGCCAGGACTATAAGAGTTACAAGATCATCTCGAAAAAGTACCACACCAATCGATCAGTTTAAGAATCCAATTCTCGGAATTGAAGTTAATTTAATTAAACAGCTACAACAAGTTGAAAATGAATATCATGGATCATCATACAAGAAACGACAAATACTACTTGATGCATTAGAACAAATAGCTCAAACAAATCTTGGTTTCAAAAAACAAATTATGACTGCTGTTAAAGCCTGGAGAAAACCTGTTGATGACACATCAGCAGATAACGATGTTACAGCAATTACCGACTTGTTACGCGCCCAAAATGAATTTAAAACAGTGAAAGAAAAATATCAAAATTCAAAATCAAAAATACAGCAGCTGAAAGATGAGATTGAAAGTACAAAAGCAGAAACAGATAGAATTATTGAAGAAACACAGAAAATGAAGCAAAAATTGTTTTTAGAAAGTGATCATTTTGCTAAAGCAAGAAAATTAACAGAAGAGCTAACTCAATTGCAAACAACCTTCGATAACATGTTTAAACCAAAGGAAGAAGTACAACTTACTGGAAATTTGGCTGATTTGTCCCGAGAAAATGAAAATCTCAAGAAAGAACTCGTTAAAATGAGATTTGAACTTGAATTATCAAGTCAAATATCAAAGAGACTTAGATTTATTGAAGAAAGAGCAAATAAAGAAAACAAGAACTAGTTTTTTTGTAATTTTGTCCTGAATCAAATGATTTCTATAGACCAAGCAGCTCGTATTGCTTGGTTTAGCATAACTTATATTATTATTGAGCGGAATTTTAGTTTAACTCAATATATTTTGTTGTTATTTTGTAAATATCTTGTATTTTCATGCCTTTTGTAAATAACTTTCAGAACTATAATAAGACATCGTTGAGCTTAATCTACAACCAAAGAATTGACAGTATTTTCATAAAGTATTTTATATCTGCAATGAATTCAAGCATGATTAGACATATCAGTCAAGATCTAGTTAGACTATCTATATATGCCTAATACATTGCAATCCATATATCAAAATGCATAATTTGTCTTGATCAAAGAGTGTTTTCCAGCATCGCAGATATTTTATACATTGGAGTGCAAAAATATCATGATAAATAACAAATCAGAATATGAAATCAATGTCACTTTTTTATTCATCAAAAATGCTTTTATTTCCATTATCTGTGACATGTTTAATCAACATATGGGTATCAATGTATTCAGTTATCCGCGTTCATCAATGGCTTGCAGATACTGGCCTCAATTTTATTGCTAGCCAACTTTTATTTATTCCTGCGATCATTGCATTTGCATTCACATTAGTTCTTTGCTTTGCATGTTTTTATATCGTATGGAATGATCCAAAAATCATGTATGTTGTATATGCAACTGGAATTTTAGGAACAGTTATTTCAATTTTCTTCGGAGCGAAATTAGTGCTACAACCTACAGTCTTCTTTGTTGGGTACACCAACGTTTGGGCAAAATATATTAACACACCTCGCACATTTTACGTCCAAGAAAGATTACGTTGCTGTGGCTATAATAGAGTGAAAGAATTCAGTGCAGATACATGCTCAGCAAGTACATCAAGCCCCTGCCTCAAGCGAATTATCAAAGATTATGCTTCAAGCATTCAAATCGGCGGAATCGGGTTATTTGCTCATGGTATATCATTTGGTATGGCAATATTCTTTGCCATTATCAATCCATATATCGTACCAGTACCTGCTACAGAAGCTCCTATCAATCTTCCAGAGATTTAATTTTATTTTGTTATTTTATCTTTTTTTATTTATAGAGTATCAATGAAATATGTAATGTAAATGTTCTATATCGATAAAATTCCTTTTTAAGACTATCCAGGAAAATATTTTTAATGTCAAAGATATATTTTTTAATTTTCGGACATTTTGATATCATTTATATTAAAAATTAGTCGCAAAAAACTATGCAATTGAGAGATATTTGAAAACTAATGTTTAATAATAAAATTTAGATTTCCTAAACTATTTAAAAGGATTTTTACTTGTTAACACGTAATAAGCTAATGGCTGTTCTAAGCTCGCAAGCTAAATCATTAACTTGCTCTTTTGTCATTGTAACAGTGAATGGCCTATTATTATTTGGATGGAATCTTACATTGAGCACAGAATGTGGTTCTGGATTTCCATTTTTGCTCTTCAATATAATATCAGCACGGTGTTCGATCAAATCTGGATGTGAAAACTGAATGAAGTTTTGTTTGAATGATTTTCTTAAATTACGACGATATTCTTTATAAAAACGATTGATTGTGCTAGCGTGTGAGTGTGGGGCACCGAGCTGTGTCAATTCCTGAGCAAGATCTTCTGGTTCGACATCGAATCTGACGGCATTTTCAACAATATAAGAGAGAAGAGCAAGCAATGATCTCTTCTGGCCATCAGATAATTTAGCATCTTGAAGGTGCATGTTGATATTGTCATGATTAACTTGTGCGCCAATAATAATGTTGTAGACTTGGAGAAGAATAAATTTTATACGAACAGAAGATACAAGTGAGAGGGTATTCATCTCAGAAAGGACCCAATCAGGAGCATCACTATTACCAAGGAACTTGAAAAGCATTTAAATGCGGTTTGATTCTGAACTTTACAAAAGGAATTTATTCGGATATCTTTTTCTTTAAGTTCATCTAATGCATTCTATAAGATACCTCATACAAAATAACCATCTCTGCATCATTTGCACTTGTTTCTGGACAATTTAAAATTACGATTCAAATTTCTTGTTATAATCATATGAATACTATATATCATATAACCTATAAGATCAAGAATAATTTTCACTTCAAATTGATTCATAATATGATATGAACAAACATCAATAACTAAAAACAATATGATGCTTTGTTATCGATCATAAAATATATCTGCCTCTCATTTCAACTTAACAGTATTGTAATTCTATATTGATCAATTAGTATATATTTCAAGTTTAACCTCAAATGCATCAGATTTATGTCATTTTCCGATATCTAATTTACCATACCATGGAAATCTTACAGACATGATAGTTGAACATTGGAAAATCAATCTTTCTCCTATGACAATTGATTCTCTCAAAAGTAGTAGGATATGAAGGGTTTAGTGACTTTTTTTGTTACGTCTATATATAGATGAAGGTATATTTTCACATCTTCTATATATAGATGATATAAAAATTTTTTCTTACGTTTTTTAAGTCATGAATTCGTAAGAAAGCGCGACATTATTAAATAAATTAGTAATAAATATTATATACTAAACACATTTTAAAAAATTAACATTAATTTTAAAATAATTTATTTTTTTATCTTTTATAAAAGAAGCTATATATATAGATGATGTCAGATATTCCGCGATTAATTAAACATTGTTTAAATCCTGAATGGGTTAAACTTCAATTTAAAAATGAAGATTGTGAATTATTAAATGAATATGAAAGCCAAAATAAGCTAATGAGGTATAAATATAATGATAAAGAATATTTAATTTCATGGAATCAATGGAGTCATAATCAAAGACCTCATAAACGAGAAGAAGAAATTGAAAATAATGAAATGGAAATCATTGATGACATTAAAGAGGATGGAATTCCTAAATTTTGTAGAAAAACCTTTAGAACTAAGTTAGGAGCATATAAACGTAGAGTATTAAATCCTGAATATCTTAAACATCAATTTAAAAAGGAAGACTGTGAATTATTAAACGCTAATGAATATGAAAATGCTAAATCAAAACTGAGATATAAATATATTGGAAGTGATGAAAGGTGTAAAGATAAAGATAAAGTTTATTCAGTTTCATATAATAACTGGCACACGTTAGGGATAAGAAAACATTTAGGAGATTATGGTAAAAGTTCCGAATTCTTCAAATCTAGTATGTACGAGAGAATAAAAGAAATTAGAAATAATTATTTTCATGAATGAAAGATTCACTACCATAATGAAATAAAAAAATTTTTAAAAAATAAACTTTAAAAATTAATGTCTTACATTTTTGAATAATTTATTTTTTTAATTCGTAAGAAATGAACAGCTCTAAATTCGTGACTGTGAATCAATTAATGGATAAACTTTCACCAATTCTCACCCAGGTTAAACAAGTAGACGTTTATTTTGATGATTACATACAAAGTTTATTTTATAAAGGTAAGTTTAATATTAAACCTATTGCTTTTGCATTTGATGGTAAATTAATCGAAAATTCAAAAATTTGGGAATTAATTCCGGATATTGAATTTATAACAAATATTAAGGATAAATGGTTTAAACAACAAAACCACCTCACTAAAGTTCTTTGTAGATTAATGATTAAAACTGAGGAAAAAGAATTTAACGGGTTTAAATATCATCCATGTAAAATTTTAGAACTTGGTAACGAAAAACTTCAGAAAAAATTAAACGAAAGACTATCAAAAGATAAAGTTGAAAGAGTAAATAAACTCGCTAAAGGTAATGGTAATGGTAATGATGAATAAGAATTTGATGAGTTCAACATAGAACTTTAAGAAACTAATGATTATTTGAATTTATGAAATCAATTATTTGATTCATTCTTTCTTCAATCTCTTCTATTCTTTTTGTTAAATCATCTATTTTCATTAATGAGGTGATTCTTGATTGAGGAATAGATTTCAAACTAACCACTCCTTTTATTTTTGAAATTTTGAATCCATCAACTTTAAACATTTTATTCAATTTACACGTTGTCAATTCTTCAAATAATTTTTTATTATTAGCATAATCGTCATTAAATTCTTCAACAGATGAAAAAAATTTTATTTCAGTAATTGGTTTAACAACGTTTATTTTTTGTTGAACATTTTCACTTATTTCTTCCTCCTCTGTTTCATTTATTTTTAAAATCGGTTTCATTTATCATTAAATAAAAATTAGAATATAAGTGATGAAATATATTTTTTTAATTAATATTAAATCAGAAATGGCGGCAGGATTCTTTAAAAAATTATGGGATGGAATTAAGAAAGCTGCGGGTTGGGTTTATAAAAAGATTATTAAACCCGTTGCAAACTTTTTGGCACCAGTAGCGAAAACGGCAGGAACTATCATAGGTGGAGTATTAGGTACTAAAGCAGGTAATCCGGCGATGGGAGCACAAGCAGGTAACGCAGTTGGTGGAATTGCTGAAGGAATACTTAATAAAATAGGAGGTAGATAGTGGAAAAATAAATATGAGATCCTATGGATCATCTCGCCGCTTAGCGGCTTAAAATTATTTTTATCTTAGTATCGGTTGTAGTCTTTGATAAACTTTTTCTCCTTTATTTAAAACTTCTCTTATTGGGGCAGCTTTTGGTGTTATTGATTCAGCAACGTCACTAATTGCTTCTTTATTCTTAAATATCCAATTTGCCCCCTTCTTCAATGTTTACCAAACTTTACTCGCTCCTCTTTTTACTCTATCCCACAGTTTCTTAAATATACCTGCAGCCATAGTTGATTATTTCATTAAAATTAAAAATTCATTTTCATCTTTTAATTTTGATTTTTTATTTATTAATAAATGACGACTAACTATTTGGTGCCAAACACTAAACCGATTAATGGAAATATGTTTCATTCATTCGAAAAGATAAATGAAATATTCGCAAAGAATGACGGTAGAAGATATTATAGAGAACTTGAAAGTTCATGCTATGACTCTGATGCTCCATATTTTGATGATAAACAAACTCATTTAAGAATTACAAATCCGGCTCATGATGTGAACCAATTAGGTGACACATATATTAAACGCAAAGTTAAAGCAACTCTAGTTTCAAATAAAGCTTTCACATGTGATGCCGCTTTTAAATGCATGCGTTTATTCGTTGGTTACAAATCATCAAATCAAAGCTTTAAACAATTAGAAGTAGAAACCGAAAGAGGTGATGCCGGTTATCTTCAGATGGATTGCGCCCGTGAATCTTTCGCATTTGCAACATATAAACCAAAATCAGAAAGGAAAGTTAAAAAGTTTGTTCATTCGTTATATAATAATGTTCAAAAATATGATAACTCAGTATGTGGTAAATATATTGACCCTTCAGAAGTTTTCAAGAAAGCAAATGAAGAAGTTGATGTCACTTTTGATATGATTATTCCGGTAAATGATTTGTTAGCATTTCAGGCGTTCGATGATTATCCTAAATCATTTGGTGATATCATTCTTAAATATTATGTTTTCAGGGATACTTTAGTATTTTGTCAGGTTGACCCGTTAAGAGTTGCTGATTTACAAAATTACGTTTATGAAAAGATAACTGATGAAAATTATGAAAAGATTATGAATCATGTTTATAAATATGATCGCAAATTCCAACAAATCGGACTTCCTGCCAAATTAATTACAAGCTTAGCCGCTACATCTGCTGACGCAACAGTTGATGACGTTATTATTTCATGCACAAAGATGGAAGTTTTAGAGGATAAATGCATTACACCAGGATACGGTTTAATTGAAGAATCAGTTAAAGCAATACCACGTTTATTCAGTAAGGAAGATCCATTCATGATTCCAGCTCAACATATTGACGTTCGTTCACTAAATGGAGGTTGCATCACTCCTGAAGGTATTAGCTCAGATTTCTCATACGCTCTTCATAATGTTACAGATGTTGTGTTAACATTTCCGAAGAATGCAATGCAAAGAACGGTTTTAGAAAATCCAATGCTTCGAGGTCTTCAGGTCACTATAGATTCCAGAAACTTCCCCGATCAAGCGATGACCACAGTGGGTGACATATTCTTTACACGTATGCTTCAAGCTTCTGATTTAGATGGAGTGAATGAATGCACAGAAGAATACGAGGACTCATTAACTAGACCACTGAATGCAGATGATGGCACGCCATTAGCTAGAACATGGAAAGACCAAACTTCATTCTTATGCACTATTCCAGTTCAACGTGATGGAGCGGGTATATTCTTTGATGGATTAGAAACTTTCAACTCACAAGTTACAGTACAAGTGAAAGCTTATCCAATCATTCAGGGTGAAAATGACACTTACTGTTCAAAGGTGACAAATCCTCCTCAGGTTTGGTTTACTAGGACTACATATTGGACATGGACACCGGATGAAGGTTTGAAATATCATCCAACAGGTACACCACCACAGTATAGAAGTTCATATGATGAAATATTGATGAATAGAAATGTTTAAAATTATAAATTTATTTTTGATTAAATGGATTTAAATTCATACACTCCTTATGAAGAATTAGCAGGAGTATATAATACATACGTAGATGATATGATTAATGAAGCATTGAGTGATAATAGAAATGCTCTATCTAAGGAAAAATTAATGAAAATTCCATATTCTGAATGTTACTTAAATTCAATCACTGCAGCAATTGGTAAACAAAATAAAGGTAAAACATTAACGATATTAAAACAAATTATCATTATTGCTAACACTTCCCCCTATTCACATGTGTTAATTTATATCAACCGTTCAGGTTCACCTTCAGATGATACATTTGAATCTTTAAAGCATTTAATCAAAATTCCAATTATTTATTTATCACAAGAAGAAGCAGAAGATTATTTAAAAAAACTTTTTAATGTATAAAGAATTATATAATACAATCAAGAAGCAAGGATTAGAGGATAAAATTATTGATAAACAACGGGATGAATTATTTGAAACACTTTCTATTTCAAATTTTGATAGAGAATTTTTGCATTCACTCATTTTTCTAGATGATGCAGTGAAATCAAAACTAATAACAAATGAGAAATCATATTTTGATCAGTTATTAACTCAATGTCGACACATTCAGTGTTCATTCTTTATGGCTGTTCAATACTTCAAAGCATTAAGCACAAACATTAAATCAAATCTATAACACTTTTCATTTTCAGTGGGTTTAGTCGTCAACAGTTGAACGTTATGCTTTATCAAGTGAATTTACCAATGAGCATTAATGAACTTTACACACAATATCAGCAATTAGGTGAACATGGAAAAATAATAGTTGATTTAAATAAAGGAAGTGTTAAATTTGATTAACTTTTTATAATTAATTTTTATTTTTTATTTATAATTAAACATGACAGAAATAGCAAATCTTCTACAGGTTCCATTAAAACAAGGAACAAACAAAAAGGGTACATATAATAGAACTATGAAAGTTCCTGATGGAATGAAAGAATTAGTTCATATTGTTGCTGGTCTTCAAAAAGATGTTAAACAAATGAGAAACGTTTTAACATTACCAGAAGCTCAAGCATATGCCAAACGTCAAAGTCCAAATTGGGAAGCACACAAAGCAGACATTACGGGTCCAAATGGAAAACCTGATGGTATAAATGAAGTTTTCGTTACTGATGGTCAAGGTAATATTAAAGTCATAAATGGTTATAAATTAACTATAACTGATTATCCTAAACGTAAAGCATATAATGAACGTTATCCTATGCAATTTGATGAAAATGGAAAAGCTGTTAAACAATACATTGGAGAAGGTGAAAATGGGCCAATTAATTCATACCGTTATAATCCATATTCTTATTTCAATGAAGAATTAAATGCTATTGAAGAGGGACCGGATGGATTACCACGATATTCTAACCAGTTTGATGGTCAATATGCAAATATTAGACCTGAAATTTCAGCTAAGAAATTCTTTAAAGTTGCTTTATTCGATCCAGTTTTCGCAAATGTTAAAGATGAACTTAAACATCAATTCCAACCAATTATAGTAGCAAGAATTGCATCAGGTGCTTTATCTCAAGCATTCAAAGATTTAATTAAGAAACCATTATATCAGCAACGAGGTTTAACTTATGATTTAGTTAAGGAATCAGATAAAAGAAAATTGAGAAATCAGATGATTATAAGAATGCAATTAATGAATATATTAGGTCTATTAATTACAATGAACCAGCTAAAAATCAACTTCAAGAACAAATACAGGGAATAATAGATTCAAAACTTCCAGCAAAATAAAAGTTTAAATATATTTTTTTATTCGATTATAAATGAGAAGACGTTTCACTAGTCAAAAGAACACTAACGCAAAAGCAGAGATTACGGTTGGTTATAACGTAAATGATGATAAATCACGAATTATTCAAAATGTTAAAGTTAATGTTAGCCCCGAATTAACAAGGTCAGCAACTCAACCAAATTTATTAACTCGTGACTTACCGAAGAATGAGGAGAATGAAGAAACCATGAGAATGGAGACCCAATCATTTTATCTGAACCCGGTAAAGAACCTGTTGAAATTCCCACTTATCCAACATACCCCCGCCTCTTTCATCAAACATCGAGAACCATATAAAATAGACATTAATTCTGAATTAATGAAAATTTACCGTGATATAATTAATAATTATGATTCAATAATAAATTTAATTGACCAATCCGGTTTAATTATTTTACCTTATGAATCATTAATTTCACATTATCGCCATTCTTTGTGATGTTCAAGATTCAGACGTTAAGATTCAATTTTTCATAGATGATGAGGTTTCATGCTGCGGAACAGTTGCAAAAATAAATCCTATAAAGGATATTAGCACAATTAAGATATCAAAGAACGGAACAACAACTGAACTTCATTTTAACATATAATGATATTTATAATAAAATAGTTTGATGAATATAAAATATCACTTGAAAAATTCTTTGTTAAGGCTATTTAATATTCAAGCATTAACATTATCGAATAATAATCCTTTGAATCATAATCAATAATAATTGACCTTTCACCAGTTTCTATCGTTTGTTTTATTTCTTTTTGTTCCCCACTATCTGGATCGGTCATTGTAATTGTTTTTGTTATAGTATCAGCTTTATCTTTACTTCAATCTTTTTTCCATCGGGATATTTAAACCAAAATTCCAAAAATTCGATATTGTCAATCTGTTCATATTTTAATCTATCAATTACATTTTTAATACCATCTGAAAATCTTATGAAATGGTCATTATATGGGTTTGATTGAACTAAATTTGAATGAAGTGAAATATAAACCTGTTGATGAATATGACACCGACTCATATTTTCTGAAAACACTAAAATTTATAACATGAATGAATTTCTTATTCGTTGAATTTATGAATTCTTGAGGTAATCTTATTCTAGTTTTATTTATCACTGGAAAATAACGCTTTACCATATTTTTAATCGTAATAAAAATGTCAATTATCAATATTATTTCGAATAATAACTGTGAATTAAATTTAACAGTTAGCGGAATTTATAATGTTACTCTCGTTTCTGTGAGTGGTAAATTAATCCCATTCTTTTAGACCCTTCAGATTATATATCATTTATTAAAGATGACCATGAAAAAACGTATGATATGTATATAAATAATGTGATAGCGAAATGGGATATTAACATGATTTTAAGTTATTTAAATGAATCATTTATCGTATGGTATGAAGAAAATTTTAAATCAAAACCTGATAAAACTTTTTGAACTTGATGAAATAAATAACCTTATTAAATTTCCGCTGAAAATTAAATTTTGTACTCCTCATCTTCGTTCATTGTTGGGGATATTAAATTTTGAAAAAGATGTTGGGGATGTTTTGTATTCTGACACTGGTTCCAATTTCATTTTAATCAAATGTGATAAAGTTAATACCCCAATGAGATTTTCACATCAAACATTAGACCCTAACTCTTACCCATCAATACAAAACATTTTATCCATCAACTTAAACATATTTTCTTTATCATATCCGTTTCAATTATCTGGGAATTCATTTATTCTTCATTCAAAAGATTTATCAAATATTAAATTTAGAGTAACTGACCTATTTGATTGTGATTTAGAATTCATGAATGAAATATTATGGCAATTTCAAATAGAAAAAATAGGTGATGAGATAACGGATTAAATATTTATTTTTAAATCGTAATAAATGATTAAACAACAGCAACTTAAGGCGCAAAGCGCCCAGGTCCTTCAGACCATTACATACGCCATATATGCATATAATTCAAAGACGGCAGAACAAACGCAAAGGTTGAAATATGGAGATTTGGAGATAGTATTGAAAAATGACCATTTCGAATTCGTTTGCAAAGGTGGTGCAGTGATATCAAATATAAAAGAAATTTTATTTATGAATTCAAAAATTAAAGGAATAACGGATGATATAACATCAATTCCACCAGAAGAACAGAGATATTACGCATTAAATGCATTTCCTAAAGTTTTGAAGATTGGAAGATTTAATTTAAATGAGGAATTCATAGAAGGTTTCCTAAATGACATAATGAAGAAGGTGGATAAGGAATATGTGGATAGTGAGTTAGAGAAGAAAGCAGATAAGGAAAAAGTTAATACTGAATTAAATAAGAAGGCAAATTTAGTTTATGTTGATGAAAAAGATAATGAAATTAAAGAAAAGGTTGAATGGTATCATGAATGGACATTGGAGACTTTTAAAGTTAAAGCTGATACAGAATGAGTTTCAGGATGTTTAGACCTTAAAGCAGATAAAACATATGTTGATGAAAAAGATAATGAAATTAAAGAAAAGGTTGAATGGTATCATGAATGGACATTGGAGACTTTTAAAGTTAAAGCTGATACAGAATGGGTTTCAGGATGTTTAGACCTTAAAGCAGATAAAACTTATGTTAACGATGAGTTAGAGAAGAAAGCAGATAAAACAGAGCTTCAAACATTAAAGACTGAAATACTTCAAACATTATATCCTATAGGCTCTATTTATACATCAATGAATTCAACAAATCCAGCAAGTGTTTTAGGTTTTGGTACATGGCAACAGATTGTAAACAAATTCTTATACTGTGCTAACTCTTCAAAACAAACCGGTGGTTCAAAGAAAATTAAAGAAGCAAACCTTCCGCCGCATAAGCATACAGGAACGACAAACTTTTCTGGCGACCATATACACTCATTAAGAGACCACCCATTATACAACTCAGACTATGAAGCCGGTCATGATGTTTTATCTCCAGCTTATAACGATTCAACAAAAAAGACTTTTCGACAAACTGAACCAGGAGGAAATCATTCACACACTTTCACAACAAATCCAACAGGCTCGGGTGAAGATTACATGCCACCATTTATGACAGTTTATGCATGGTTCAGAGCTGCTTAAAGTCCTGAGCTCCAAAAGAGCGAACAACATGACATTTTGACAACAGGTACGAAAGGAGGAAGGCATTTATGAATTATTTTTGAATAACTGAAGGTGTCACTACGTCACCATGTCACCAGGTTAATTAACTTCTCTTAAAATTACTGACAACATGACATTTAGACAACAGTCCAGGAAATTTGATGCAGTCCAAAAATAAAGTTAGTTTTAAAATTATTTTTATTTTTTTATTTTTGTATGTAAGAACAGAAATGTCAGTCGAAGCAAAAACATTCACGAACAAATCTAATGGCGAAACATTCACAAAAGGCACTTATAATGGTATTGAAGTCTTACGTAGAGACAAGGATGGTTACATTAATGCAACAAAGATGGCAAGAGAAGCGGGAAGGTTAAACCATTTAAACAGATTTCTCAATAGTACTAAAATGTAGGAAATTCTTGAGTTTTGGATGAACGAATACGGTCAAGCCAAAAGTGGCTCGACCTCAAAACAAGCATTTTATGAGCTTACTAAGGGTGTTATAAATGAATTCAAAGGTATTTACATACATCCTGACCTCGTTCATTTTGTTGCTGAATGGTGCTCTGTAAAGTATGCATTTTATGTCAAAGATATTATGGACTCCATAGACAAGAAAGTTCATGAGAAATTAGATGAAGAAGAACTCGAAGATACAGTAGAGAATGCTAAACCTTTGTTTGAAGAAGAAGTTAGAAAAATGTGCGAAAAACAATTAGAACATGAACGTGAGATATGTTATGGTTATAGAGATTCTCCATACGAACTAGACCAATGGGAACAAGAAGATTTAAAGAGAGAATTTAGAGAATATGAACTCGCTAAGATAGCATTAGAAACTGCAGAAAAGAAGTTAAAAGTTTGGGGTCGTTTTGTACAAAAATATTGTGAGTAAATGAACCATTTATTTTTGTCATAAACGACCAAAAATATATTTTATCGTTAATGGTTTTTAGGTGTCACCACGTCACCATGTCACCAGGTTAATTAACTTCTCTTAAAATTACTGACAACATGACATTTAGACAACAGTCCAGGAAATTTGATGCAGTCCAAAAATAAAGTTAGTTTTAAAATTATTTTTAGTTTTTTATTTCCTATATAAATGACAGCAACAAACAACAAACAGCAACTATATCGTTTCTGATGAAAAAGTTATTGATTCATTAGCTGAGGAATTAGTTGTGGCAGAAACTAAAACCTAACGAAGAATTGGTGAAAACAAGATTGATTTACATAACTACCTCAAACACGATGGAGGAAGAGGAAGGAAAACTGGTATGGCTTTATTAGTAAATAAAATTTCAAATTTAACGATTATAGATGTTGATATCAATAAATCATACAATGATGAACTTAAAGAAACAGTTAGAAAAGATATTTTATCAAACTTTCGAATAAAGATGTTATCGTTAAAACCGCTTCAGGAGGTCTTCACATTTATTGCAACACTAATTTCTTCTATTCAGTTTCGAACAGAATGATTAAATGTTATTCTGCAATGATTACGATATTGACATAATGACTTCATGGATGATTCAAAGCGTTCTTTCGTGTTATGGCTGATATTCAAGAGTTCAAGAATGCAACAGAACCAATCAATACATACCATTCATTCGTGGAAGTTACGACTCGACATAACCAGAACAGTGAATGATATATTAAATGATTTGAATATTAAGGTAAAGTTGAACAGAAGAACGAAGAAATAAAGAGTATAATGAATGAAAACAAAGATGTAAACATTGACGATAAACTTGCCCAGAGCATAGTTGATGGTATCAGTGATTTTGAAGTACATAATGACGGTGGAAACATGAATTTAGAAAAAGAAATAACATTATTCACACTGTTTTCAAGCTATTAATTCGTTACCTAATCATTTAATTAATGAAGCATACGATAACGTTTATAACTTCTGCAGTTTAACAGAAAATGCTAAAAAGTAATTTTGAAAAAGCACGTAGTAGATATGCACATTTAATGACTTCTCCATTTGTTTTAGTGAAGATTCTAAAACTATATCAAAAGGAATATTATGATGAATACGTTTTACCTTTATTACGTAAGCCAAAAATAACATTTGATATAAACTTGATGACTCGTTTTTGATAACAGATATTAGACGCAAGGCTGAAAATCATCAGTATAAAAACAGTTCTGAAGTAATTGAGGATTTATCACGTGTAATCCGTTTTTGTAGATTGTGGAAATAAATATTTCATTCAAAAGGACTATAATATCCACGACAAAATGAATCAATATCATTCGTTCTTCAATCAACATGAAAGAGTCACTTAAAATGATTAAATTATTTAAAGAAGAAGGTAAAACAATAACAGCATGGGGATGTACTACTAAATCAATTATCCTCATTAACCGTTAAGGGTGTTTGCTTTAAATCTGATTCTCCAGATGTTTCTCAACGTTTCAAGGTTATAAATACAACATTCTCGAAAAACCAGATTACTCAAAAATTGAGATGTTTATGAATTTCATTAAAGAAGCCATTTGTGATAATAACGATGAAGTGTATAAATACCTACTCGTGGATTGCATCAATGATTCAACATCCTGGAATCAAGAATGAAACAGCAATTATTTTGAAAGGACTTCAGGGAACAGGTAAAAACAGATTTACAGACATTATTTCTGAACTTCTCGCCGGTTATTCATGTAAAAACATTACCGAAATAAGTGAGCTAACGGGTAATTTCAATTCAGTAGTTGAGAATAAAATGTTTCTTGTACTTAATGAACTCAAGAATGTAGGTGAAGATAGACTCGCAAACTTCAACGCTTTGAAATCAATTATTACGGATAATGAGATTTAGAATTAATGAAAAATCAACCCAGAAGAACTGCTCAGAATTGTTGCCAATTTCATTTTTGGTAACTAATAACGTCTACCCTGTCAAAATTGAAGTTGGAGACAGAAGATACGTAGTTTTAAGAGTTAATGGTAAATTCAAGGTCAATTTGATTATTTCAAGAATTTAATGGATTCATGCACAAAGGAATTTTATGATAATTTACTGACGTATTTTATGCAATATGACCTTTCATCATTTAATGTACGAATCATACCGATGACTGAAGCCAAACAAGATTTAATAGAATTATCACAAATCCTTTAGATGAATGGATAAATACACATTATGATGAATTGTGTGCAGGTATGACGTGTAAAATGCTCTATGCTGCAAACCATCAGACATGAAAGACAAAAACTTTCAAAATGAGCATTAAAGATAAATGTGATAGGAAACAGAGAAGAATAGATGGTAAACAAACATGGTGTTATGTTTTGAAAGAAGAAATGAAAGGATTATATAAACAGGTTGAACCAAACGATAATGAGGATTCATTTACTGACGATGAAATACCTGTAAATGAAGCTTTATAAAGTATGATTTGAATTTATTTTTGCATTAATCCTGCTGTGTTGTCTAAATGTCATGTTGTCACACTTTTTAAAAGAAGTTAATTAACCTGGTGACATGGTGACGTGGTGACACCTTCAGTTATTCAAAAATAATTCATAAATGCCTTCCTCCTTTCGTACCTGTTGTCTAAATGTCATGTTGTCATCATTTTTAAGAGAGTTAATTAACCTGGTGACACATGGTGACGTAGTGCACCTTCAGTTATTCAAAAATAATTCATAAATGCCTTCCTCCTTTCGTACCTGTTGTCTAAATGTCATGTTGTCATCATTTTTAAGAGAAGTTAATTAACCTGGTGACACATGGTGACGTAGTGACACCTTCAGTTATTCAAAAATAATTCATAAATGCCTTCCTCCTTTCGTACCTGTTGTCTAAATGTCATGTTGTCATCATTTTTAAGAGAAGTTAATTAACCTGGTGACACATGGTGACGTAGTGACACCTTCAGTTATTCAAAAATAATTCAATAAATGCCTTCCTCCTTTCGTACCTGTTGTCTAAATGTCATGTTGTCATCATTTTTAAGAGAAGTTAATTAACCTGGTGACACATGGTGACGTAGTGACACCTTCAGTTATTCAAAAATAAATTTTCTTATCATTCAAATTAACTAAAGATGAACTTAATAAAATGATGATAAAATAACTGATAAAAATTTTATTTTTATATAAATGGATACCCCACAAGCTCAAAATTTACCACGAATCATAACAAGGGAGGAAATGATAAAAATGATGCAAGAACAAATTAAAAACAACAAACCACGAAAACCGAGAAGATGTGGTTATGCAGTAATGATGGAAAGAAGAACCCGAAGGGTTCGGCGTCTCGAAGAGACGTTGTCGAAGAGGAATAAAAATTAAATTTGGATTGAGTTTAAAAATTCATCTTTATTAAATTCATCTCTTCCAATCAATTTATTTATTCTATTAAATTCTTTTATTTTTGCTTCACTCAGTTTAAGGATTGAACGGTAAGTTTTTAATTTTTCGATTATTTCTTTCCTCTCTTTATCGTTTTCAATTACTTTAGTTTTATGGGCATCAGCCCCGCCGCATTGCAGCTTCTTTTTGTAATAGCATATTTTTGATTTAATTCTGTTTAGTTTCTTTTTATATTCATCGTCTGGACTCTGAATCTTAATTGAATCAGGACTCTTGGATGCTTCGTTGTCACTCATTTCTTACGAAATAAAAAAATTAAATATTATTTAAATATAATGGAGTAATATAGGGTGTCCAAAGGTGTGTTTAGCACAAACCTGAATACTGCGAATAGAAATAAACAAGTTACATATATATAAAGTTTATTTAAATATAATCACCATTGGATTCAATCACGCGTTCGCAGCGATCGATCCAGGCTTGAAAGACACGCTTTAAATCATCATGAGAAAATTGCTCAAATTGCTCTCTTACAAAATTTTCAAGATCATCTGGACTCGCGAATTCGCGTCCTTCAGCTCTCTTTTTTAGCGTGCCGAATAAATAAAAGTCAGAGGGTGCAATATCAGGTGAATAAATTGGGTTTGGAACAACTTTGACATTGTTTTCCAACAAATAATTCATTACCTTATGACTTTTGTGAACTCTTGAATTATCAAAATGAATTGCAAACTTTTGTTTTTGTTGTTTGGATTTCTCAAACTCATCAGAATTGATAATTTGAGTAAGAACATTGTCAATTAGATACTGAGCATTCATCGTATTAGGTTTTTGAAGAATATCAATTGCGATGATGCCATTCACGCCCCAAAAAACCGACAACATCATCATTGGTGTGTCAATTTTTTTCTTCGGGAATGTTTGCGGATTTTCATCCTTCGGGATCCACATGATTTTGGCTTCTGTTGCATATTGAAACCAAGAATCGTCCCTGTTACTAAAAAGCGAAACTTCTTGGATTGATACGCACCCAATATAGAGAGGAGCTCTTTCGAAGATTGGACTCTAGATTTTTTTTGAACTGAATTAAGGTTGTGCGGAACCCAACGTGTATACGCTAGTTTGTAGTTCAAATAATTGTGCAGATAATAACTGACTGTTGTACGTGGTATCTTTGTCATCTCCTCTATCCTTCTGAGTGATGCTCTTGGGTCTTCATCTAGCGCTTGAAGAATTGCTTTGATTTTTCTTTGATCCGGCGATTTTTTGTCAATTTTTATGATGGGCGCCTTTTTGTTCATGAAGTGATACATCCTAACATGATACGTTACAGTGGAATAGCTAGGAGCATCCATACCGAAGCATTTTACCAATGTCTCGTAGATTTTTTTACAGTCTTTGCATTTTTTTGCAAGAGCGAGGATGTTTTCTTTATGATTCATTAAAAAAATGAAAAAAATCCCGCCAAAATTTCCCGCGAAACCGCCTCTTGTCTCAAAATTCATTTTATCTCCCGGCATGGCGCCAAAATACAACATACTCATCATATACATATATTCATATTTTTTATTATATATTTATAATCAGCATATATCTCCTTTAATAGTCTCATATAGAGCGCTGTGCTAAACGCACCTTTGGACACCCTATAAAATAAATCGGAATTTCTATTAATTTATTGTTAACCTCAACTAATGCATTGCCGTTAATATATCTAACAAATTCAGCTATTGTGTCAAATCTTCGTCTTCTTTTTGTCATTGATTTATCAGTTTTTCCATAATCGAGATGAATCAAAACTTTATCCCCTTGTTTAAAATTCATGAGCCCCGAATTAATTTGTTCACGTTTAACATCATTTAACCTTTCCATTTGCTTTCTAATATATTCCCATTCTTTTGAAATATCATTTTTCATTTCCACCGGTTTCATGTTTATTGTTCTATGCCATGTATTATTGTAATAATATACTAACTGCTGTATGATGGAGTCATGATTTCCATCCCAGTATATTGACCTTAAAACGCATCTCTAAGAGTTCTCATTACCGCATCAACTATTTTATTATGAAACATATATGGAGAGGATGAGAAGTAAAAATTAATTTGTGGGAAATAATGAGCCATAGCTGCCTGAAATCCTTTATCACCATCACCCTATATTATCTACTCTTTCATGATCTAGTAAGTATTGAATAGCTCTTCTTGTTTCCTGTTCTGTTTTCCCTTTCACTGGAATGCAATATAAATATCTAGTGTTAATGTTAATGGCAAATAAATAAGTAACGTTTCATTTTGAATATTCTAAATGATCTATTTCGTATGAATATGGATATGGAGCAAATGAAGGGCGACTAAATTTTTCCTTAACGGTTGAATTTTCGGGTCAATTGGTTTATTTAATATCTTGAAATCCTTTTTAAAATCTTTTTGCTTCTTTAATGTTTGAAATGGATATAATAAAGTGAATGATGAAGGATTAACTGAAGGAGGATGTACTGTCGTTGGAGGTTTTGGTATTGCAAGTGGTTTAATTTTATCTGCTTTGATTTTGGATGATGAAGTTTAGTTGTTGATTTTCCTTTCATTATATTCTGGATGTATTCTATTCATTTGTTTTAAATATGCTGTATATAAAGGTTTGATATACTTTCCCACTTCGAGTTTATGTTGAAGGATGAATTCCAAAAGTTGATCTTCATTTAAAAGTCGGGCTGAATATGGTTTAACTAATGAATCATAAATTAAAGCTTGTGCATCATTTATGGTCTGAAGGACCTGGGCGTTTTGCACCTTTAGCTGTTGAACATTTGCTACTTTCTCTTTTGGTGTTGTTTTCGGCTTTTTCTTCTTTGGCTTTTGTTCCTTTGGTTTTGCGGCTCGGGATTATATAATTTATATAATTCATCAATATCTTCTTCTGTTAATACTTTATTTTTGAAATCTTTCAACTGTTTAAGTTGTGATTTAGTTTTTCCCTTTGTATATTCATTATTTTTAATTTTGTCTTTAATTTTAGAAATTATTTTATCATGATATTTCAAAATTTCATTTTTATAATACGAATAATAATAATCCATATCATCACCCGTTATATTGTTATTATGTTTTTGGAGATATGATTTTAATTCATAATAATTAAGAAAATTTTGATTAAATACTAAATCATCAATTAAATTTTCTAAATCTGCGTTATCCATTTATATAAAAATAAAATAAATGTTTTAAGGGTGCCCACCTCTTTGAATCAATGTATCAAAACCATTATTTACATATTGAATCACATCATTAACGGTTCCTTTTGTCTCTTCTGTGGCATTTCATTAAAAATAAAATTTTAAATTCATGACTCAACCCCTACGTTTTTAAATTGTATTAAATAAATGGCATACAACATCCATTTTCACAACATACAGCCTTAGTGTGTGCTCCTGTTAATGCAGTCTTACCGATTGTTAAGCGAGTCATTGACCCGTTTTTAAGTTGTAAATTAATATTCTGACCATCAAATATCAATTTATCATTTATTATATCCAAATAATTTTTAGGTGTTAATTGCTTATTTTGTCGTAAACTAACACCTTTCATTTTTTGTGCAATCTTTTTAAAATCACTTCCATCAATTGAACCGTTGAATGATGTATAACACTTAGGGCATAAAGCAACCATGTTATCACCTTGTTTCTCAATTGCTAAACCCAATAACTTCTTCTCATGTGCTTTTTCTTCAGCTTTATTCTTTAATTTAGGTTTAAATTTCTCATCAAAACAGAAGAAATCAAATGGTGCGAATTTGAAAATGTTTTTATCATAAAATTGTTTATCGGTTACAATCGCCTGAAATGCTTGAGTGTTAGGAAGATTTGGGTCGCCAGCGATTGCCCAATAAGATGAATCAGTATCACCTTCAATGAAATGAAAACGATTAACATCCATGCATTTATACATAAAATCATAAATGAAAACTAAATACCAGTATTTTGCGTTATCTAAAGTGAAGAATGCCTCTTGTAAACATGTATCACATCTATAAAATCTATCTTTAAGCATCACTTGATATGTATCTTCACCTATTTCTCTTATGTTTTTAAACTTATTTGACATATATGCAACGCGTGCCTTCTGTGCATTCATTATTTTAGTCTTTGCGTAATTTTGTGTATTCATTGCATCGTAACCATATGATCCATTAAGCGAAATCTTGCAAAATAAACTTTTTCCTTTATTTCCTTCTAATTCAGCCTTTTGTCTTTCGTTCATAAATTTGTTCGCAAATTCATTAAAACAAGTGTTTTTAGTAAATGTTAAAATTGATTGAATATCATCGATGATAAAATGAAATCTGTCTATTAGATACCAAAGATAATAAGAAGAAAATGGTTGATATTGGTTGTGTGTTGATGCTAACTGAGTTAATTTCCTCTGTTTCTGGTCAACTGGTAAATTGTTTGATTTCATGTAATTATACATAAAAATGCCAATTGTTTTTTCATCTGTGATAATATCTAAGTTTCTTATTATCGGTAAAAAGTTTATGTAATCATTAATGTATTTTTCATCAATGTAACCCTTTACTTCAGCCACGAATAAAGTATTTTTCTTCTTAATTATTCCCAGTGCTTTTGCTTTCTTTGTTGCTGTATCACAAATGATAACACCATTCAATCTTCCCGGCATATACATTTTATGGTCAGTATATTGAATGAAATCATGAGGATTAGATGAAAATGATGAAGGATATAATGAATTAAAATCAACACCAACGAAATGAGTCATGATGTTGGTGGTGTCCTCATTTGATACAGTTTTAGTTTCTGGATTATATGAAAGTTTATTAATGTGCGTGATTCCTTTAAGATTTACTCTATGTTGAACATTTGATAAACCACCAGTAATTCCATTACGGAGAATGTGATAAGCTTCAACTGAATCTAAAGTCATTGGTAAATTATTTTTTAATGCATAATTTCTTAAATTGATTCTTAAACGTTGAACATCTTCATCTTTATTTGATTTTACGACATTGCAATAACAACCCATTAACTGACAATTTTCTTTAGTATGTGGTTTTTCATTATCGATTCTATCTAATGTTGGTTTATTAGCATATGTAAACGCTTTACCACACATTTTGCATTTAGATGAAAGGATTAAATCGTGATAGTATTGAAAATCATCCATTGAAACATTATTTTTAGTATCTCTTTCTGCTTTTTCATCTTGTTTCTTATATGATTCAATTTTATATTTCCAATACTTTTTCGTTAATTCAAAACTTGATTCTATCTCTTCCTCAGGATATTTTTCATTAGGATTAAAGTCTTTATATGCTAAAGCGTAACGAATCATTGAAGCATTCGATGATAAAGAAAGATTATGAAGCATATCAATTTTATAAACAAATGTTTCTTCAATAATTTTATCGATTGGGTCAATCATAATTTCAACATCTTTATTGCGATAATGAATAAAATATTCTAATCTATTCTTAAAGTTTTTAGCATCATTGAGATATATTTGATAATCACTATCTGATATAGTTTCTTGGGTTAATGCTGAATAAAATGAATCTTGAGTGAATGGTTCCACTTTATATAATTCTTCTTCGTAATTTTCCCACGTGATGAATTGATAAGGGGAAAAGGATTTAACACGTGATTTATTGTTTCCGAAATCTTGAGTGAATTGGTCTAATGTCCCACCCGCTATATAATTTCTGATGTCAATAAATCTCAATTCATATGGAACGTTTGTTTTCTTTACAATGATTTGCTTAAATTGTGAAGATGAACCCAGCATTGATTTTATTTTCCATTTTGCAGTGTTTAAATCACGAAGAATTAAATTTAAATCAAACTTTCCCGAATTAAAACCTATGATATTCACTTTATTGAATTCCTCATCTAGAAGTTCTTTAAATGCTTCCTTCTGTTTTTCATTTAATGTATGGGACAAAGTCCCCGCCGTTTGCGGCTTCATTAATTCATTGTATTGACTCATATTTGATTTAGCAACTAATGAACAGGTTGAAAATAAAAACTCAATCCAATCAGAAATAAAAGAATCACTCGAAGTTAAGCAAAAATTCCTCGTATATGTTTTATCGTTTAATTTAACCGTTGATGATACCATGAATGGTTTTAAGTAAGCATTCAAAGTTGCACACTCAGAAAGTTGTAATTCTTCTTTAGTCTCTAATGTTTCAAAGTCAAAAGTAATATAATATCTTGTCGGTTTATAATATTCCTGCAAATTGTGAGCTAATAACCACCGATATATCTTCTGTTTCGTAATATGTGGTGCATATGGTTGCTGTGTCTTTTGCAACTGAACGTCTTGAATTAATCTTCCATTATTTTATTTACATTTCTCAGAATGCTTTAAAAATCTTCTTTGGTTTTTCCTTTCTGGATCATCACGGATAGAATAAACTTCTTCTTTACAATATGGACAAACTTTATAGCCGGTGAGTGCTTCAACGTCTGTTATTCTGTCAGCGTGAAGTTTTCCACATGGACTCTGTGTTAATAAAATATTTACTGTTTCAAATTCTGGATCTATCATTATTGATTCCACTAATGGAAAGTCTACCTTATTTATGTCCACATCTTCTGGTTGAGGATCACAATAATAGAAATCAATATTAACATTTAACATTCTCGCTAATCTCTCACTTTCTGATGAAATGTCAAACCCTTCATATGCATCTATTGCTTCATTTAAATAGCTTCTACGAGTTTTAGGATTAACACCATCAGGAATGTTATAGAAGCGTTTAAATAACCTTCTACCTTCTGCTCTAATTTGATTATCATTCATTTTAGCTGTTCCGTTTTTGTTCATTTATGTAAGAATAAAAAATTAAAAAATAAATAAAAATAAAGTTTATTTTTTAAAGCCCATAAAATGAATTAAGAACACATAAATTTTTATCATCTGCGACGTGACGAATACATTTTAATTTACTCAAGAATGCGTACCCTGATACATTAAATCTAATTCCTGTCTTATTTAATTTCACAACTTTGAAAAGGAATGTATGAATAGCTATAAAATGATGAGAAGATGTTTTATGGGTTGCTTCCATTTTTTCTGAAATAAATGAATAAATATAATGTTTATAAGTTTTCATATCTTTTATGTTCTTAATAACGAATGGTATAGACCTTTCCACTTCATCTTCCTTCGGTGCTGTTCTTTCATATGAAACATTATTAGTATCTTCAACAATGAAACCGCAATCACATAAAATTTTATATGTTCCAATGGTTTCTTTTGATATTTTATCTAATAAATCAAAAACTTTATCAACACCTGTGCATTTATTTAAATAATAATTTGTGTAAATATCATGATCTTCTTTCTTAATCGTATTAGTTGCATATGTCACGTTTTTAAGAGCTTTTTTGAATTTCTCAGAATCGAGAGGGGGTGAAAGTAATATACAAGGGTATTCTTCATTATCAATAAATTGTAACTTATGTTTACGTATAAATTTAGTACCTTCTTCTGAAAGTGTTTCATCTATTTCACCATCTAATAAATTTTGTGTTGATTCTGAGACATAATTTTTATATCTTTCTTCATGAGATTTCTGAACTTCTGATTCTGAAGCTGGGATATTCATTAAACCCTCTACTTCATTTTCATTATATTTTTCAACTTCTCTTAATTCCTTAATTTTTTCATCTATTTCATCTCTTATTTTTTCCAGTCTTTCAATTTCATCGTATTCATCATCATCATCTTTAATCCGTTCTTCATAATATTCAGGGAAAACATCAGGTTCTTTAGGTTTTTCTTCTTTAGATGTGGGATATAAGAAATTTATAACATCATCTTTATTCATTTTTCCATCATAATCAAACTCATTTAAAAACTCCGCGAATTTTTGACAATTTCATAAATAATATTTACTAACTTCATAACCCGCCTCCTCTAATATATCCTTTATTTCCTCATTTGTGAATCCTAATTTTTTAACGTTGTTAGTCTTGACGCTCATTTCATACAAAATAAAAAATAAATTATTCAAAAATGTAAGACATGAATTTTTAAAGTTTATTTTTTTTATTTTTTATTTCATTATGGTAGTGAATCTTTCATTCATGAAAATAATTATATATAATTTCTTTTACTCTCTCGTACATACTAGATTTGAAGAATTCAGAACTTTTACCATAATCTCCTAAATGTTTTCTTATCCCTAACGTGTGCCAGTTATTATATGAAACTGAATAAACTTTATCTTTATCTTTACACCTTTCATCACTTCCAATATATTTATATTTCAATTTTGATTTAGCATTTTCATATTCATTAGCGTTTAATAATTCACAGTCTTCCTTTTTAAATTGATGTTTAAGATATTCAGGATTTAATACTCTACGTTTATATGCTCCTAACTTAGTTCTAAAGGTTTTTCTACAAAATTTAGGAATTCCATCCTCTTTAATGTCATCAATGATTTCCATTTCATTATTTTCAATTTCTTCTTCTCGTTTATGAGGTCTTTGATTATGATTCCATTGATTCCATGAAATTAAATATTCTTTATCATTATATTTATACCTCATTAGCTTATTTTGGCTTTCATATTCATTTAATAATTCACAATCTTCATTTTTAAATTGAAGTTTAACCCATTCAGGATTTAAACAATGTTTAATTAATCGCGGAATATCTGACATCATCTATATATAGCTTCTTTTATAAAAGATAAAAAAATAAATTATTTTAAAATTAATGTTAATTTTTTAATGTGTTTAGTATATAATATTTATTACTAATTTATTTAATAATGTCGCGCTTTCTTACGAATTCATGACTTAAAAAACGTAAGAAAAAATTTTATATCATCTATGTATAGAAGATGTGAAAATATACCTTCATCTATATATAGATGCAACAAAAAAAGTCACACACCCCTTCCACATATACTACTTCTCAAATGATAATTTTGCCTCCATGTTGTTCATCAAAAATAGTGTATTTCTAATCTTTATCCATAATATATTTTGTTTCTGAATTCTATGTAAAAAATTTTTCAAAATTCATAGAGTTTCAATTCAATGTTAGCAACAATCATTCTTGTAAGGAAAAAATATGAATTTAATGCTAACATTGACAAGGTGAACTCAATTGTATCAATGCATGCTCAGCAACTTAACTTTGTTGCCTTTCCAAAAACAAAAATTAATTCTGTCGAATTTTTTGTGACAAAACAATCATCAAGATTATTCTTTAGCGAACAAATAGACGGACCCAATATAACAGAGCGTGATAAAATGCCTGTTTATCGTCAATTTTATACTTTTCCTCCGGCTAATGGAGAAAATCATATGAATATGTTCTGGTATAAAATCAATGGACTATTTAGTTCAGAAGATCGATTTACAGTACTCATTGACACTGATACAAACGAATCTGATTTTTTAACTTACGTTTCACAGCCAGAAATAACTGTCAATTCCAATATTAACTATGCAGTTCTGTTTTCAATCGTAATTGCTGTTGCAGAAGCTTGTTTTTATTCAAAATTTTTTATCATCGAAATAATACTTTCCGTTTTATCTGTAATTGAACCACATTGCTATCCACTATTTATTACAGCACTTTATGTTATTCGCAGTACAGATTTAAACATCGAAAATTTACATCTTTCAATGCCAATAATTCTGACTTATATTTTCTGGAAAATACACCCATACTTTCCGTTTTTCATAGTTTTCTATTCAATCTTACAAAAAGACTTTTCTATATTAAAATTAACAAATTTATTTTCAATTACTGCTTCTTTGCTACTTTCAAACGCAAACTACTCATACATGATCGGAATTTTCCTATATTTACTTACAATTTTGGCATTTAACATTGATAAACTTAAAAAATCAGAAAAATTCGAAAATTCTTCTAAAATTGTTCAATTATCATTAGGACTACTCATTTTATTTGTTACAGGCATAATCTTTACTACTCCTTCTTACTTAAAATACAACAAAACTCAAATAGAAAAAGTAAATGATTTAATTCTCGAATTTTCACCATTTGCATCGACAAGACCAATGACAATGAAGCTTGCCAAAGCAGCAGCTCTTGCCTTGAAGGGTCCTTATGACTATTCAGAGTGCAAACTCTGTAAAAATCCACTTCCTAAAGAAATTCATTCCTCAGAAAGAGATTTAATCATTATGTTTGCAACATATGAGTCTTATAAGGCCGTTGTTCCTGTTAGAACAATCAGAACATCAGGTTGCCGTGCAAGAATCTTATTAATTACAGATGAAACAACAGCGTTACCTTTTGAGTTCCAAGATTGTGGTGTTACTGTTGTTAGTACACATGTAGGCAAATCTGCAAGCTTAAATGTTCGAAGAGGAATCAGATTCCCATTTATGACAGATTTTCTTCCTTTGGTCGAGAAAGATTTTGATCGTATACTTTACATTGACGGTTATGACACGATTTTCCAACGTGATCCTTTCCCTGAGAAAATCATATATAACCAGCTCCATTACAGTCCCGAAAACCATACGTACGCGACCAATTATGTACTTAGGCAATGGCGAGAAAGGGCACCGAACTTCAATGTCCCTCATTGGAACGACAGAGAAGTGAAATGCAACGGATTAATACTTGCTGATACGAAGACAATGTGGAAGATCGCTTATATGGAGACAGCCTTGTTCTACAGAAATGGAGATAACATTTGCGAAGATCAAACTTTCTACGAATTCCTTATTGAAGAAGATATTATTTCTTCTCATGGAATTAAGCTTTATAGAGATAGAGAACTAGCTTCATTGCTATGGTCAATGACAGGATATACCAAATTATCCCTTGGACATATAAGACAAATCAACACAACATGGTTTCCTGCAATTGTCCACCAGGCATTGAATGTTTTAGACTGGAGAGAAATAATATGGCAAACATGCCGCTAAGATCAATCATTAGCATCTCCAGTTTTCTTATTTTGTTTATTTATTTTAATATAATTATAAATTATATGTGTTATGTAATTGGATTTTACAATTTAGTAAATATTTTTACTCATATCCTCTTCTATATAATGTCAATGCGCATGAATTCGCTTGGTTCTTATCAATATGAATATGTTGAATTTGAATAACTGATTTTTTATAGAGTAATCAAAGGTTAAGGTCATATGCAAGGAGAACAATGTTACCATATTGTCTAATGATTTCAATTACAAAGAATAAATTTCGTGATTTTCAATTATACAAGTAAATGTGAAAAATACTAAAAAATATACAACTCCATAATTAATGTAATATTAATCAATGAATATTTTGGAGAATTATTCGTGATTCAGATTCAATAAAAATCCAACTACTTCAATAAAGTAAACTTTAACAGGGGAAAATAAACTTTGCACAAATGTGAATATGAATTCAACATAAAATTTGATTGAGACCAAAATCTTTGTCAGATAACGATAGATAAAGAATAAAAAAAAATGAGTGAAATTAGTCCTTTTATTTTAAAGGCAACATATGTTTATAATCCCACGAATGAATGGTATCAATGTGTTGTTTCATATGAGGAGCAGCAATTTCCAATTAAATGTCTTCCTCCGCGTAGTTGTCGAAATTTTCCTCCAACATTTTTAACTCCAGTTATTAAATCATTTGCGAAGATACCTCCTGGAGGAATGAGTAAGATGAAGAGCAGTTCTTCAATCGAAAAAATTAATGAATACGTTCTAAGCCTCAATTTAGTCTCGAAATTCGAAGGCTCGATAATTCTTTTAAAAGAACCGATTCCAATTTCTGCAAATATCTCAATACATGGCGAATCTCTAATTGGATGGTTCCAGTTAAACTCAATTTTACATTTTATCAAAGGAGTTATAAATTCAAAAACTCATGACACCAGGCTAAGTATTTTCAGTGCTTCCGATGCATGCTACAAAAATCTTACCGGAAAAATTACAATTAATCAAGGAACAGTTAATATAATGGCTTCTTTAGGAAAACTCATCATCTCTCTAACGGCATCTGAAGAAACAACTCTTAAACCGGGCGAAGATGCATTTTTATGTGGCGAATACATGGGATTTCAAGAAGATGATTCACAAGACTTATATTTGACAATCCATGCAACTACAGATGGCCTTGTACACGCTGATGTTGTCGATGGCCGCAAAAACAAGTTTAGTCTTCTCGGATGCAGAAATCCAAATGAAAATTCCATATTTTTCTTAACAGAAACCGATTGCAACCTACACTTTATCGGAACAATATCAGGCAATGCCAATGACCTATCAATATGCGGAATTTGGAAAGAAAGAGAAAAATCTGGTTCTTTCTCATTCTTCAAGTCACAGAACTGAAAATACGTCGAATTATTTACTATTATACACACAAATTTACAAAATCTTCAAAAAATTTCAAGAATCCAAAATTTATATTTTGAATTCTTGAAAAATTCACCCATGATTCATCATTTATCATGATTTATTTTATTTTTAGATACAACTAACTTATCTGTCTTATTAAATTTTTATTAAAATTTGTTTGATAATATTACGCTTAATATCGATGATTTTTTAAAGAATTTCCAAAGATATGTTTATTATAAAAAAGTTCTAACATTTATATCTAAACAGATTTGTTTTAAATAATAATAATATTTTGGAATATCGGTCATCACTTTGATCTGATTCAACTTTTTGCTTTGAAGACTTCTTCTTGTGAACAATAGCACTGCTAATTACACCATGAGAAACAATAATTATCAAATAACAATAAAATCCGTTTCATTTATGTTGTACAATGAAGGCTTATGAAGATTCTAGTTGGAGTATTTATTGGTTGTTTAATTTTTTTTAGTTAACGATCAAATGCAAAAAATTAAATCTTATCCTTAAATTTAATAAACAAACTTTCATAATACAAACAGAAATTGAAACTGTAGCATATATATGCAATAGAGAGTAATAATAATCAGTGCTCAATTCAATTTTGCGAAAGAATTTATTACTACAGTGGGTCTTCAAACCCGTTATTTTGGAACAAACTCGATAGTACGCCCTCTCAATTTTTAATGACGTTAAGCATACGTGTACTAGAGGGAGAGACTTAGATCCAGATTCTAAGGTTCTAAGTCGGAATATCAATTCCTTGTTGTCTAAAACAATAGGTTACTGCGAAAAATTGATTGAATACATTTAAAGATGGTTTTAAAATTCATAAATAATTTTATTAAAAAAAATAGAAAAAAATTAGAAGTTCTTGTTACCCATTATTTGGAACTGTGAGTTCTGATCTATTTCCAGATCCTTCGATTTGATCTTACTGAAGTTACATTGACAGATATATCCCATTGAAGACTTTGCGATGACGCAGTTGACCATTTCGTTGAAATTGTTTCCATATATATTAACTAGAGACTCTGTAACAAAAATTCCAGCACGTTTCATCATACTGAACTCGCAACCAGTGATTGTGACACATTTCTGTTCCTGGCTATTTCCGCATGTAGTTATTTCAATAGAGTTATCTCCATTGAGGAGCTTGCACTTATCGATCAAAGCTCCTTCGATGAAAGTCAAGGAGATATAAGAATTAAGTCTCTTGTTCGCTGTTGTACCAATTCTGAACGTGCTTTCGAGGATTTGGATACTGTCTCCGAATATCCATTCAGCTTTGATCGCGTTCTGTCCTGGGTGGTTGAAATCGCATCTGGCGACGTATAAGTTCGGGCATTCCTTTGTTTCTCTGTTTCCCTTCAGGCAGATTGAAACTGATTGGTCGCGCTCTTCGCTGCTGGATCCCTTCAATGATGTGGACATGATATCTTCAAATGAAGTATCATCAAGTTGGATTATGGATTTATCCTGAGCGTAGATACCCATTTGAGCCTTGGAGATCTTTGTCTTGTTCTTGGCCGTCAAACTGCAAGAGTTTTGCATGGTAATCGCACAACTTGCGCTTTGTAATTCGGAGTTATCGAGAGAGACTTGCGCGTTATCCAGGATTTCGATGCATTTGCTGCAGCGTGCAACACGATTACTTTGGAGGCTTGCAGTGTAACCAACAACGGATTTTTCGATTACGGCCTTGGAATTGTTCTGAACTCTCATGGAGCATTGGAGAGATGATACTGTGCATCTCGTGAGGTTGCAGATTGAGGAATCGCCACAGGTAATCGTATTCTTATATTTAGATGAGAATGTACAGCCTGTAAGAGATAAAACTGCATCATTTGAGACCATAATGGAGGCATTAACGGTGGACATTTCCTTAGCATCGCGGCTGTTCGTTGTAATTACGCCAAATTCGGAATCGTTGATAACTACGATGGACTGGATCTTCAAATTGTTTTCATCGGTGGCTTCTGAGCCAGAAGATCCTATCTTGAAGTCGATTTGAGTAGAAGAGAAGACACAATTTGAGATATTACTGTGAATACCTCTTAAGAAGGCACATCCGCACCTGTTACCAGTAAATTCGCAACTGTAGACCTTAATTAAGGAGAACGAATCAACAACATCGTGATATGCGTTAATTGCTGGTTTTTCGCACCTTAAGAACTTGCAGTGACCAATCGTAATACTGCATCTCGATTCTACTTGAATGGCTGTATCGATATCCTCGAAAGTAGTGTTAGTAATCGTACCTTGTGCATTTTCGAACATTCTGACGCCTACAATGCATTTATTGTAGAATCTTGAGTCTGTAATGATGAAGTTGATTGCGTTTTGTGCAGAGATGTTGGCGCTATTGTTGTTGGAGAACTCACATTTCTGAATAATCGCGTAAGAACTTGGACTCAGGGCAATGCATGAATCGACGAAGTTCTGGAAGGTGCATTCTAATATAAGGATCTGAGCGTATTCCAGTACGGTGATGGCAACAGGAAGTCTCTCTAATGTACTTCCTTTTACCATTCCTTGGGAATAGCTTTGGAAGGTAATGATTGTCTTGAAGTACTTGCAATCAACGAAAATGCCGGTAGCGTAATCGCCGATAAGAAGTTTGGCCGAAGATTCTGATTGTGTTTCTTTCTTTTCTCTTTCATCCGAAGATTGTATGAGAGAAAATTCGCAGTTGGCAAAAACAGAACGAGAATCGTTGGCTAATGACGTATGCTTGTTCATGGATTGAACTTTGCAAGATTGGGCCAAAATCTTCGTATTTTGGTCAGTGCGGAAAGATGCTGAGCAGTGAGCTTGGATGTTGCAGTTGGTGACTTCAAGGAAGCCTGTAAGAACCTTCAAACAATAAGTATCACCTGGAGCTTCGCATCTGATGGTTAAACCATGGATTCTGGCCACAGATGTATTCAGAATGATGGCATCGGACCTGCTGGATTCAATAATAGCATCGGATTCTGATTTAAGTTCAATTGGCTTTGTAATTACGACGGATTCTTCGTAAACTCCTTTTCCGATCATAATAACATCACCTGGAAGTGAAGCTTCAATTGCATCGTTGATGCTCTTGAATGTATCACTGCGGCCTTCTTTTTCGACATGGAGAATTCTTTCGGACTTAATATCTTCGAATGGAGAGTTATATGATGGTGTGAATTTCTGTTCGTTGATCCAAGCGAATAGTTGGTTATCTTTGCTTGCTTCGACATCATCTGTGTAACCAGGTGGAATTTGCTGGCAAAGGAATTCTCCAGCTTCTAGCTGCTGAATCTTCTGCTTGGCACCAGCTTCATCGAAGCCCTGAGCTTGCCCAGAATCTTGATTTTTGTAAGAATCTGGAATTGGATAAGTTTTCTCGAGATCTTCAAAAGATGGAGCGTATTTTAGCTCCTCGCTTTCTACAAAGAAGTTTGGATTTCTGATGTTATTAAATATATTCTGAGCATATGCAATAAAGTCATTATTTGGATCGAATTCTTGTTCCATTTATTTTTTTTTTGTCAGAAAAATAAGTGAACTAAATTTATATTTAATTAGAGTCATTATATCATATTAAAATACCATTTACTTTACAACGAAAATAGTATTTATCAAATACTTCGTCGATTTTGTATCGATAGATGTTTTTCATATTAATTACGCCTAGCTCTCAAAAATTGAGAGGATTGAGATATTTACACGTTAAAAATATTAAAGCAGATTTAAAGTATCGCTATGATCCGATTTTCCTTATATTTTATGAGAATAACAGGCATAGCATGCAAATAACAGATTATGTGCGGAAAGATCCCCATAGAAACTCGCTTAAGGAATGTGAAAAAACTTATTTTACCTAATGATTTAACAATACTCTTCATTTTGAACAAGTTTAATTAATTCATCGCTCCATTCAATAGGCAATGATCTATATATAAAAGAAGGATTTAAAAAAAAAGATTTTTTTTATTATGAACATGAATTATGTTTTTATTTAATATTATAATTTGTTTATAATAAAATATTCTATATTTGACTGTATTAGTTATATTTTGCCATAATCGCCTTAATTTCGTCTTTAATATCCGAAGGAAACTGAGAAAAGTCGAGAGTCTTTCCGTACTTCATGACAAAGCTGTCAAGAAGATATTCTACGTTCTCTCTGACGAGTTCTGTCAACTCTGTGGCAGATTTTGCAATTGGCTGGTCAGAATACCGACGAACGACATGTTCGAAGGTAGGGATCGACCAATCAATGTATCCTCCCTTGGGAACAACGAGAATTACGGCAGTCAGCTCTTTGATAATTAATTCTATTTTTGATTGGATGATTCCGAACTCGTCTTCCTTCGGAGCGACGTCTATCAATGCCTGCAATGCACGCGCAGCCTCAATAATGATATAAGAGTTCTGAATGGCCGCATTTTGCCTTGTCATTCTTCGAACTCTTCGTTTGTACATATTATATGTAGTTCTGATCTTTCTATGTGTCTCGTATATCTTGAGGGCCTTCAAAAGTCTGTTAAATGGTGAATTTTCTTGAATACGATTTTGATAACTCTGTTGAGGGCCAAAACGTTCACGATCTTTGGCCTCCTGGTCCAAATTAGCCTGTACTGACTTAATCATCTTCCTATTTTCTGAAACAGAAAGAGTTCCATCGTTTATTCTTGTATATGAGTGATAAGATGGGTCAACGTCGTCAAATAGGTTGTAAATCTGGTCTGAGTATTTATCGAAATCTGTTTTGATGGCTGAAAGAATGCTTGTAAAGAGTTCTCCGCTTGAATGGAAAATTGATTCTCTTCTTTGGTCACATTGGTCCATCGAAGCAAGCAAAAAGTCAGAATAGGCCCAATATTTAACAAGACCCTTCTGACCAAGACCATCAGCCAAACGATTTGAGTTTGTAGAGCCAAAACTAACAAGCTCGCCTGCAATGATCTCAACAATGCGTAGTACGATATCTGTAAATATAAATAATGCAATTGCTGCAATTGCTCCGCTGATAGGTAATAAAGCAAAGCTGATAATTGATAAAACAAGGACAGGAACGAGAGGGAATATATAAGTATCGCGTAGTATGGTCAATCTATCTTTTCTGTATGGTTTTTGCAGTACAAATGACTGAATATATACTGAAAATGAACTTATATTTGATATAAAGAAAGAAATTAAGAACGAAAATGTAATTGAAGTACGCATCTTTGTGAATTGTAAAAGGAAGAATGATGTCCAAAGTATATTTGCGAAAAACCATGAACAACGACTTAAAAATTCGCGGATAGTTAAAACTGTGTGTGTTTGAGGAACAATTGTAAGACATTTAAAGTATAACATGATCTGTAATGGCAAAGTAAACATCGCAATGGCTGCAAAATACCATTTTGATTTAACTCTGAAAATTAGTTTGACAAAACCTAAAAATATCCATAAAAGTATATAGAGGATGAGACTCCATGTAATTGAGGCTGCGTACTTCCACTTCCAAACAGAAGAGATGAAGCGCAGGGAGTCCATTAAAGTCTGTTTTTAGAACCTAGACGGTTTTGACATAAAGACATTAGAATGATTTTCAAACTAGCAATATTTTGATTTAATTAAATATATTTTTGGGTGACATTAAAAAATCAAAAAATTTTAGAGCTCAATTCTATGTATTCATCGAAGCAATTTTTGAAAAATCAAAATAAACATGTGAATACCTCTTCTATATAATACAAATATAAATTATATCAATATTATTATATTAAGATCTTGACATGGCTAACATTAAAATGAGATTCATTAGATGATCTTCTAGAAAGGATTTTTAATAGAGAAATCAATGTAAAATCGAACTTTTAATGCAAGATTTTAAAATATCATATGAAGATTTAATATTCAGATCAATATCCAATCATAATTATGCTTTTATTATATAAGCTGCCTAGTACCAAAATATATACTTGCATAATAGTTTATTTGTGATATCGGCGAGATATAGAGGTGCATGATTTCGTATGAAAAATAATTGTTACGACATGTTTTCTATTCAATGATGAAGCAAATGGTATTTATTTGATTTGGGGTTATCAAATATGCAATTATGTCTGTAAAATTTCCTTAGTTGATTAAAGTGACCGTTTAAAATCTCTTGGATGTACATTGAGCGCATCATCCTCAGTGGTTTCAAGAGTTACAGAGATCACACAGTTGTCGATGGTTTTGACCCATATTTCAATGCTATCACTGGTTTGAATGGAAGTGGTAAATCCAACGTATTAGATGCTATTTGTTTTGTTCTCGGCATGAGCAACATTTCAAATCTCAGAGCAGAAGGACTTCAAGGTCTTATATACAAATCTGGACAATCAGGTATATCTAAAGCTTCAGTCGAAATTATTTTCAATAATGAAGATAAGTCTGCAAGCCCAGTAGGCTATCAGGAGTTCGACAAAATTACTGTTATGCGTCAGGTTACAGCTGGATCATCATCAAAGTATTTCATTAATGATCATCCAGCAAATCAGACTCGTGTTCAGAATCTTTTCCACTCTGTCCAACTTAACGTTAACAATCCACACTTCCTCATTCAGCAGGGCAGTATTGAAAAGATTGTTAAAATGAAGCCACCGGAGATTCTCAAATTAATCGAAGAAGCTGCAGGTATCAGCATGTTCCAGGTGAAAAAGGAAGACGCAGTTCGTACATTAGAAAAGAAACAACACCAATTAGACGAAATTACAAGAATTATTGAAACAGAATTAATACCAAACCTTGAAAAGCTCCGAAAAGACAAAGATGAATACAATAAATGGGCTACATCTAAGACCGAAATCGATCGTCTTAGCAGATGGCTCATTGCTAAGAAATTCACCGATTGCGAAACAGCAATCAACGAAGGCGATGCAGCTGTCGTAAAAGCAAGACAAGAAGCTGATGAGGCAAAGGCTGCAGAAGAGCAGTCAGCAGCTGAACTTGCAGAAATCCGTCAAAAAATCAAAGATTTACAAAATTCAAGAGATGGCGAGACAAAGAAGAAGATTAACGAACTTAACAAGCGTGCTGAAGAAATCCAAGAAAAGATAGATAGCGCAACAATGAAGAAAACTCATGATTTAGAAGAATTAAAGAGAATTAACTCAAAAGTCAAAAAATTAACAGACCAATTAAAGGAACAGAAAGATGAACTCACTAAGAGACAAGAAGAATCAACAAAAACAACAGAAGACCATCAAAAACTTGAGAATGAAGAACAAGAAGCTCTTGAAAAGGTTCAGCAACTCGAGAAGAGAATTACAGAGGTAAATATCGGTATTGCCAACGAAAATGATAATAAATCTCTCTCAGACATCATAGAAAATGAGAAGAAGAAGCTTGCAGATATTGATGTAAACTTAATGAGGATTTCCAACTCACAGCCGCATCTCGAGAGACAGTTAATGAGCTTGCAATCACAGCTCAAGTCTTCCGAGCGAGAAAAAGTAGAGCTGGAGAACAAGAGAGACAAAGTAAGTTTTGATCTTGAAAATATCAACGAGCAATTAAGAAATCTAAACTTCGATCCTAACCGCGAGAGGAATCTTTTGCAGGAGAGAGACCAATTGTCCCACAAATTGCAACAACTTTCCGATGAATTAGATAATCTTGAGAGAAACATCATTGGCGTCAATATCGATTTCGCTAATAAGCCTCATGACTTGAATGAAGAAGGAATTTATGGTGTAGTTGCTCGTTTAATGAAGATGAAAGATGGAAAATATTCTCTTGCTGCAGAACAAGCCGCCGGTGGCCGTCTTTATTACATTGTTACTGATAATAAAGAGACAGCTACACAGCTCATCAAGCCAGGCGTTTTGCAAAGGAGATCTACAACAATTCCATTAAGAGAAATCCGTTACAAAAACCCCGATGCCGAAAAAGTCCGAAAAGCCCAAAGAATTGATCCATCTGCTCACCCATTAGTCGATGAAGTAGAGTACAAGAAACTCTTCGAGCCGGCCATCAGATACGTCTTCTCAGACACTTTAGTTGTCGACACTTTACAAGGAGCAAGAGAAGTCACTTTTGACAAAAATATCATGATGAAAAGTGTCACTTTAGAAGGCGATATTGTTGATCCGGCTGGTACATTGACAGGTGGCAGTCGTCCGCAGAACTCCGGCATTATCGAGAAGATTTCTTTGTTCACGCAAAAGGTCAATGAAGAGAAGGACATAAAAGAAAAATTAAGACAAATAAATGACGAATTGCGAACATTGGAAAACGACTCTAGAAAGTACAGAGACTTGATGCATCAAAAGGACATCATGGAGTACGAACTCAATATTGCTAATACAGCAATAGCGAACTCTAGAAGCGCTGAATACCAAAGACAATATGATGAAATTCAGAATGAATTGAAACAAAATTCTGAAGATGAAGTGAAATTGAGATCACAAAAAGGTGACATCAGAAAAGAGATTGACAGACTTTCTAGCGAGCTCGAAGCATGGCAGAGCGAAAAGACATCGCGTGTTGCAAGCCTCGAGAAACAACTTTCTGAAGCGAGAAAGTTACACGAAGAAAAAACAAAAATCAGATTTTCTTCGGATAACGAAATCGCAAGAGTTACTGTTTTAGTACAAGAACTGAATAACCAGATAAAGCAGAGTGAGCAACAACTCGATGATTTCAAGCACGCTGCAGAACAAAAAGAAAAATCTGCAGATGAAAACCAGAAAATTTTGGAAAAGTCAAATCAAGAAAAAAGTGACAATGAAAATGAACTAAAGAAATTAGATGAAACAATGAGATTAACAAGCAAATCTCTTGATGAGTTGCGTAAATCTGAAGACGCAACAGCTGTTAAACTCCAAAAGGAAACCCAGAAAAGAAAGAAACTCGAAAGTCAAATAGAATCTCATTCAAGAATCAAAAGTGAACTGAAACAGAAAATTGAGAGTCTTATTAAAGACAACAAATGGATAGAGCAAGAGAAGAGGTTCTTTGGAGTCAGCCACACCGATTTCGATTTCGAATTATACGAGAAAAAGGAAGCGAAATCGAAATTGAAGAAAATGATTGAAGAACAAAAAGAACTCGAAACAAGAGTCAACAAACGTGTCATGAGCCAATACGAACGCGCTGAACATGAACTGAACAAGTTAACAGAAAAGAAACAAATTGTTGAAGAAGAAAAAGTCAAAATTTTGGATGTCATCAAAGAGTTGGAACAAAAGAAAGAAGAAGCATTGACAACAGCACTCAAGAAAGTCAATGGAGATCTTTCTGATATTGTTTCACATCTGCTCTACGGTGCAACAGCAACTCTTGAAGATGAAAATGACCACGGAGTTCGTGGTTTCGATTTCATCGTAAGATTGAATGGTTTACAGAAAGGTTTGCAAGAATTATCTGGTGGCCAGAGAGCTCTGATTGCTCTTGGCTTAGTCTTGGCGCTTCTTAAGTTTAACCCGGCTCCAATCTATATTTTGGATGAAGTTGATGCCGCTTTGGATTTGTCTAGAACTCAGGATATCGGAAGACTTTTGAAATCTCAATTCAAAGCTTCGCAATTCATCGTTGTTTCTCATAAGGAAGGCCTCTATAAATATGCTAACGTTCTATTTAGAACATCATTCAATGGAACAACGCAAATAACAAGAACTGTTCAACACCATGATTAGAATTTTTTATTTTTTATTTGATATTTATTAATAAAATTATTTTTTTTCTTGTAACATATAAAACATTACTTAAATTAATTAACAGACTCAACCTTTTTGCACTTGTAAGAACAAAAAAAATGTTTATCCAGAATTAAATTAATATAATCTAAAGTTTTCATAAAGATTTTAGATAATTTTTTACATTATCTGATGCAAGATCCATTGCCGTAATTCGATTATTATTCTTTGCTTCTTTATCAGCTCCATTAGAGATAAGATATTGAACAATTTCAAGATGACCATTTTCTGATGCATAAATGAGTGGAGTATTTCCATAATTATTCTTTGCATCTTTATCAGCTCCATTAGAGATAAGATATTGAACAACTTCAAGATGACCTTTTCTTGATGCCCAAATGAGTGGAGTATTTCCATCATTATCCTTTGCTTCTTTATCAGCTCCATTAGAGATAAGATATTGAACAACTTCAAGATGACCTTTTTGTGATGCAGCCATGAGTGGAGTATATCCATCATTATCCTTTGCTTCTTTATCAGCTCCATTAGAGATAAGATATTGAACAACTTCAAGATGACCATTAATTGCTGCCCAAATGAGTGGAGTATATCCATCATTATCCTTTGCTTCTTTATCAGCTCCATTAGAGATAAGATATTGAACAATTTCAAGATGACTATTAATTGCTGCCCAAATGAGTGGAGTATATCCATCATTATCCTTTGCTTCTTTATCAGCTCCATTAGAGATAAGATATTGAACAACTTCAAGATGACCATTTTCTGATGCATAAATGAGTGGAGTATATCCATCATTATTCTTTGCATCTTTATCAGCTCCATTAGAGATAAGATATTGAACAACTTCAAGATGACCATTTTCTGATGCAGCCATGAGTGGAGTATATCCATCATTATCCTTTGCTTCTTTATCAGCTCCATTAGAGATAAGATATTGAACAACTTCAAGATGACTATTAATTGCTGCCCAAATGAGTGGAGTATATCCATCATTATCCTTTGCTTCTTTATCAGCTCCATTAGAGATAAGATATTGAACAACTTCAAGATGACCATTTTCTGATGCAGCCATGAGTGGAGTATATCCATCATTATCCTTTGCTTCTTTATCAGCTCCATTAGAGATAAGATATTGAACAACTTCAAGATGACCATTTTCTGATGCAGCCATGAGTGGAGTATATCCATCATTATCCTTTGCTTCTTTATCAGCTCCATTAGAGATAAGATATTGAACAACTTCAAGTTTACCTTTTCTTGATGCCCAAATGAGTGGAGTACATCCATCATCATCCTTTGCTTCTTTATCAGCTCCATTAGAGACAAGATATTGAACAACTTCAAGTTCACCAGTTCCTGATGCATAAATGAGTGGAGTATTTCCATCATTATCCTTTGCTTCTTTATCAGCTCCATTAGAGATAAGATATTGAACAACTTCAAGTTCACCAGTTCCTGATGCATAAATGAGTGGAGTATATCCATCATTATTCTTTGCATCTTTATCAGCTCCATTAGAGATAAGATATTGAACAATTTCAAGTTCACCATTAGATGATGCATAAATGAGTGGAGTATTTCCATCATTATCCTTTGCATCTTTATCAGCTCCATTAGAGATAAGATATTGAACAATTTCAAGATGACCATATCTTGATGCATAAATAAGTGGAGTCTGATTATTTTCGTTTTGAACTTCTTTATCGCAGCCATGCTCAATTAGAGATTTAACGAGTTTAAGATTTCCTTTTTCGCATGATTCGAATAAGATATTATTACGAATTTCATCATCATTTTTATTGATTATTTCTTCAATTGCTGTTTCAAATAAAGTTTGATCTCCTTTTCTTGAAAGTTCATCAAGATATTTGTAAACATCTTGATTATCGCTTGGAATGAAATAACGATTGTGATTATGTTTGTTATTTCTTGATCTCAATAATGAATCATGAAGAGATTTGATAATATTGAAATAGTTGTTTTCATCACTAATGACAAGATTTTTATTGATTACTTGTTCACTGCAAAATTCGAAATGAATGCATTCAACGAGTGGTGAGAAAATTTCATTTTCGTTCATGAGAGAGAATATGAAATTTGCTATAGAATCCTCATCTTTGATGAGTAGTTTATCATTATTAAAAATACTTTGAATGATATCAAATCCGAGTTTCTTCGAAATTGATTTTAGATCATCTTGATCAATCTCGTAGAAATGAGAAGAAATGAAATCAACACATTCTGATATTTTACTCTCAGAACAAATATCAAAATAAATATCGAGTAATTGAATACAGTTATTTTTGTCGAGAACCATTTTGTCAATAACCTGTGTTTTATATGGATCAATCAGTTCTTGTATTCCGAGTTTATTTCCGATGTAGAAAAGATCTTTCGATATCGTATCATTGCATTCAAATTCTGTTTTATTATATTGTAATATCTCTTTCAAAACTTCATATGCTTCTTGTGATTCTACTTTCGTTTCGATATCAATCTTTAGTGTGTTATTATCTAATACATAAGTATTATAAATCATTTGTGAAAATGCAACAGCGAAGTATTTATTTATTTGTATTTCAACATTGTTTACATTTAACATAACACTTTCATTCATTTTGAAACCATGGACTCGTTCCAACATATGATTCTTTAGTTGAATTATTACCATTTTTTGCTTTTTAAAAAACGGTGGAAAATTTAAATTCGAACTCATAAAATTTCACATTTTATTCAGAATATTGATGAATATATGAAACAGCCATCGATAAATCTCGTTATATGAAATACATGAGTCAAATTGTGAGAAACTTGTAATTCTCAGACATACGATTATTTTTGATTCAAATGCTATTCGGCATTAAAAGCAAAAATAATCATATACACGAGAATTACACTTTCCCCACATTTTTAGGTCGCTTCACGCCCCTGACAAAACGTTGGAAAAGTGTAAATTTTCAAAAAGATTCATTCAATTCACTGATAAAATTTCACATTTTATTCAGTCATCGATGGCTGTTTCACATATTCACTCATCGATAACGCTCGCTATATGAAATCCATGAGTTAAATTGTTAGAAACACTTAATTTTGAAAAAGATCATAATTTCCGAAGTTGATGATGATGATGAAATCGTAATTTCATTATTTCAAACTCGTAATTCCAAAGTTTCAGAGTTTGAATCTATTCCAATATGCCATGTTTCAGAATCTGTTGATTTGATTTCTACAACCCTTTAAGGTCGAAAATCTTTTTAGAATTTTTTATTCTTTTTTATAATAGAATGCCAAGAATTATTGTCTAAATGGACTATTATCCCAAATTTTGATCAAAAGAACTCAAATTTTGTCTTAGACTTCCCATCAAATCAGAAAAACGTTTTTTATCATCGTAAGATAACTTCAATCATGCAAAATTCATTTTATCACTTCATACGCGAATCTTCATGCTTCAAACTAATTGCTTATCCATTTGTTGATATAAATACAACATGTGTTGCTCATCTCAATCCATTTGCAAAACTAGCATCTAATGCATCCATATTTAATGCACTCAACGCCTCTACATAACCTATCAATAACAAATTTACATTCCAACGCAGCAAACTTTTTTCTTAACATAAAGAAAACTTTGATCTTAATGACGATGACTCATATTCAGCCGATATTGGTTACAAACAACAATTAGAATACATTGGAGCCGAATAAATCTAGTTTTATGACGATTTTGATTTATCAAATCAGACTTTTCTCCTAAAAACTCTCCTCAAGCAACCAAAACATGAGATGAAGTTTCATTGTTGTCCCTTACGATGAATATATGAACTAAGATGATGAGGAAGAAGATTCATAATCGATGGAAAGAATGAAACATCTCAAAGAACTTAGAGAAATCCACATGAAGAAGAACAAAGACAATAAATCACGTGTCCAAAGGCTATGAGAAGTCAACCACTCTATGTCGTATTCTTCATCAGTTTACTCAAGGATTAGCCAACGCTCAAAGTTTTCAGCAAATCAAAGTTTTCCAAATCTGAGCAAGAAATATGAACAACAATGACGACTACATGGAATAGGAAGAAGAGTAAGAAGACACAAATTTCTAAGACTAAAAGGACAATAAGAATAAGAATAAGAATAAATAATTTACACGTCTTCAATTGCGTCAGAAGAGATTGGAGAAGCAAAGACTCCTGATATTTATATGTCTAAAATCTCTTAACGAAGAAAATTCTACAGCAGCAAAACTTTCTTCTCTCAATGATGAACTTGATGCCGAATTTGAATTTTGCAGAGAATTTGGATATATTATCAAAGATGAAATTTCAAGAGTTCGAAAAGAATTACAGCCAAAGCAAAAAGAAAGCTTCAGAACAAAAGAAAATTTGCCAAAAAATACCAACAATTATATTTGGAAACTCATAATGACAGAATTCAACAAAATTATCAGAATAATCATCCTCATTACAAACATTCAACTGTTGATAAGAATACAGATTATGCCAGAACAATCTCTCATCTCCAGGCAGAAGTTACGAAATTTGATAAAGAAGTTAATGAACTTCAATCATAAATTTCTCTTTATATTTTTTATTTATTTATGGTTTTACATTCATTTTTTTGGATACTTTATGCTAATACCCAGATTAAATATAAAATAATATTTTTGTGCGTTTTTTGCACTTGTATAAAGAAAGAAATAAAGAAAAAATAATAATAAAAATGTTTATCAAGTGTTTCATTAATATAATCTAAAGTTTTCATAAAGATTTTAGATAATTTTTTACATTATCTGATGCAAGATCCATTGCCGTTTTTCCTTCATCATTCTTTGCTTCTTTATCGGCTCCATTAGAGATAAGATATTGAACAACTTCAAGATGACCATTAAATGATGATAAATGGAGTGGAGTATTTCCATCTTTATCCTTTGCTTCTTTATCAGCTCCATTAGAGATAAGATATTGAACAACCTCAAGATGACCATTATTTGATGCATAAATGAGTGGAGTATTTCCATCATTATCCTTTGCTTCTTTATCAGCTCCATTAGAGACAAGATATTGAACAACTTCAAGTTCTCCATATTTTGATGCACAAATGAGTGGAGTATATCCATCATTATCCTTTGCTTCTTTATCAGCTCCATTAGAGATAAGATATTGAACAACTTCAAGATGACCATTATTTGATGCCCAAATGAGTGGAGTATGTCCATCATTATCCTTTGCTTCTTTATCAGCTCCATTAGAGATAAGATATTGAACAACTTCAAGTTTACCTTTTTCTGATGCACAAATGAGCGGAGTATATCCATCAGTATCCTTTGCTTCTTTATCATCTCCATTAGAGATAAGATATTGAACAACTTCAAGATAACCACGTGATAATGCATTAATGAGTGGAGTATATCCATCATTATCCTTTGCTTCTTTATCAGCTCCATTAGAGATAAGATATTGAACAACTTCAAGATGACCATATTTTGATGATAAATGGAGTGGAGTATTTCCATCTTTATTCTTTGCTTCTTTATCAGCTCCATTAGAGATAAGATATTGAACAATTTCGAGATTACCATATCTTGATGCCCAAATGAGTGGAGTATGTCCATCATTATCCTTTGCTTCTTTATCAGCTCCATTAGAGATAAGATATTGAACAACCTCAAGATGACCATTTTCTGATGCATAAATGAGTGGAGTATATCCATCATTATCCTTTGCTTCTTTATCAGCTCCATTAGAGACAAGATATTGAACAACTTCAAGTTTACCTTTTTCTGATGCATAAATGAGTGGAGTATATCCAATATTACCCTTTGCTTCTTTATCAGCTCCATTAGAGACAAGATATTGAACAACCTCAAGATGAACATTAATTGCTGCCCAAATGAGTGGAGTATTTCCGCAATTATTCTTTGCTTCTTTATTAGCTCCATTAGAGACAAGATATTGAACAACTTCAAGATGACCATATCTTGATGCATAAATGAGTGGAGTATATCCATCATTATCCTTTGCTTCTTTATCAGCTCCATTAGAGATAAGATATTGAACAACTTCAAGATGACCATATCTTGATGCATAAATGAGTGGAGAATATCCATCATTATTCTTTACTTCTTTATCAGCTCCATTAGAGACAAGATATTGAACAACTTCAAGATGACCATTTTGTGATGCATTAATGAGTGGAGTACTTCCATCATTATCCTTTGCTTCTTTATCAGCTCCATTAGAGATAAGATATTGAACAACTTCAAGATAACCATTTTCTGATGCATTAATGAGTGGAGTATATCCATCATTATCCTTTGCTTCTTTATCAGCTCCATTAGAGATAAGATATTGAACAACTTCAAGTTCACCATTTTCTGATGCATTAATGAGTGGAGTATATCCATAATCATCCTTTGCTTCTTTATCAGCTCCATTAGAGATAAGATATTGAACAACCTCAAGTTCACCAAAATATGATGCCCAAATGAGTGGAGTATATCCATCATTATCCTTTGCTTCTTTATCAGCTCCATTAGAGACAAGATATTGAACAACCTCAAGATGACCATTAAATGATGATAAATGGAGTGGAGTATTTCCATTATTATTCTTTGCATCTTTATCAGCTCCATTAGAGATAAGATATTGAACAACCTCAAGATGACCATTAAATGATGATAAATGGAGTGGAGTATTTCCATCATTATCCTTTGCTTCTTTATCAGCTCCATTAGAGATAAGATATTGAACAACTTCAAGATGACCAGTAAATGATGCCCAAATGAGTGGAGTCTGATTATTTTCGTTTTGAACTTCTTTATCGCAGCCATGCTCAATTAGAGATTTAACGAGTTTAAGATTTCCTTTTTCGCATGATTCGAATAAGATATTATTACGAATTTCATCATCATTTTTATTGATTATTTCTTCAATTGCTGTTTCAAATAAAGTTTGATCTCCTTTTCTTGAAAGTTCATCAAGATATTTGTAAACATCTTGATTATCGCTTGGAATGAAATAACGATTGTGATCGTGTTTGTTATTTCTTGATCTCAATAATGAATCATGAAGAGATTTGATAATATTGAAATAGTTGTTTTCATCACTAATGACAAGATTTTTATTGATTACTTGTTCACTGCAAAATTCGAAATGAATGCATTCAACGAGTGGTGAGAAAATTTCATTTTCGTTCATGAGAGAGAATATGAAATTTGCTATAGAATCCTCATCTTTGATGAGTAGTTTATCATTATTAAAAATACTTTGAATGATATCAAATCCGAGTTTCTTCGAAATTGATTTTAGATCATCTTGATCAATCTCGTAGAAATGAGAAGAAATGAAATCAACACATTCTGATATTTTACTCTCAGAACAAATATCAAAATAAATATCGAGTAATTGAATACAGTTATTTTTGTCGAGAACCATTTTGTCAATAACCTGTGTTTTATATGGATCAATCAGTTCTTGTATTCCGAGTTTATTTCCGATGTAGAAAAGATCTTTCGATATCGTATCATTGCATTCAAATTCTGTTTTATTATATTGTAATATCTCTTTCAAAACTTCATATGCTTCTTGTGATTCTACTTTCGTTTCGATATCAATCTTTAGTGTGTTATTATCTAATACATAAGTATTATAAATCATTTGTGAAAATGCAACAGCGAAGTATTTATTTATTTGTATTTCAACATTGTTTACATTTAACATAACACTTTCATTCATTTTGAAACCATGGACTCGTTCCAACATATGATTCTTTAGTTGAATTATTACCATTTTTTGCTTTTTAAAAAACGGTGGAAAATTTAAATTCGAACTCATAAAATTTCACATTTTATTCAGAATATTGATGAATATATGAAACAGCAATTAAGGGTTTCGTTTTGCTAAAATTGTCACTTTTATAGCATATTTGTTTTTGGATGTTTTGCGAAACCAAAAAAAACTATGATATACAATGTGTGTGTAAAGAAAATACTTTATTTACTAGTTAAAAAATCATTTGGTATTGATCAAGTTATTTTTTCTGGATAAGATATTATATGGATAATTGGATAGAAAATACAATTATATAATCTTGTACCTGGTTTAATTAAACTAATTGTCATCAGAAACTTGTAATTTTTATGAATTTCAGATTTTCTTTTCATTACTGCTTTTCTTAATAGGTCAAGTTCTTATTTACGTTATAAAGTATGATATTTACAAATATCAAGTTATCATGTTTTTTGAGAAATTATGAGAAACAAACAAAAATGAAAAAGATAGGAATAGCAATGAATATTGATGTGGGTATAGAAAATGTAAGAGATATGAATGCAAAGCAATCAGTATTTAGGATATTGACCATAGATTTCGAAAAAAAAATGCTGCATATTGAGCGAAAACTATGATTATATTATAAGGCTGTCATTTAAAACATAATGAAACTATTCCCTTTTCATTTTAATCGAATAAGATAGTAAAGATTTTTGAATTAGCTAGAAACTGATGAGATGTTTTCACAAATCAGATTTTTAATCTCTATAATGCATAATTCACTCAATATCTCAATTTTGATATTGCGAGATATTTTTGCTATCGGTTTCGCAATTTTGACACAATAGCAAGAGGGTTCTATATGCATTATTATCAACGTAGAATCTGAATATCATATCAGAAAATGTCGCAAATCTGACATTTACCCGACCAAATAGCAAAAATAATTGAATACTTTTCGCAAAAACTTTAAAAATCGATAAAAATATGAAATATAGATATTAAAGAGACTTTTTATATAATATTAAAAAAAAAAAGAAGGAGTGGGGCCTCCAGGCACTTCGTGCCCTCTAGCCCCTGAAGATGTTTAGTATACAATGAAGTATAAAATGAGGTTTTTTTTTGGGTGAAGGGGGCTTCCCAGGCACTTCGTGCCTTCTAGCCCTAAAAATTTTTGAAAGTCGTTGTCGTTGACTTTTCGGTAGAGGACTCAAAATAGTATAACTATGTCCGGACAAGTAAGGGTCTATCGTCGCTACAGAAAAGTTACGGGCGTTCAAGGAAGTATACTTTGAGAGACTCTTTAGAAACTTTAGACGTTTTACATAACCATCCATGTTTTTACTTTACATCCGATAAAAGTGGTTTGGAAACTGTTATGAGATGGTTAGAGGACATACATGACTATGATTTTAGATATGATGAGATAGAATATGAGAGAGGTCCTATAAACCGGAGAAAGTGTCATATAAACATCTGTCAAAAGCCTCTTTTTAACTTCACTTAAAATGCCACGTAGGATACGTAAGAATATACGTAAGAGGAAGAGAGCATTGAAACATCCAATAGTAAAACTAACACCACAACAACAGTTGCAACAACAAATAATGAATGACCCCACTATGTTGCAACAAATGTCAAGCAATCCTATGCTTTTAAACCGAGTTTTTGGTGCACAGAGTGGAGGTTTAAGAGCGGCACTTTTAGCGAAAATGGCAGGCTATGGTGGAGCTGCAGACGGAACAGCCTATAACCCTCAAAGTCAAATGAATTTGAGTTCACTCAAAAATCAAATATCAGATGTCAAAAAGTCAAACATAGACATACAGAAGCAAATAGGTGAAAACGAAAAGAAACTAGAATACGACAGACACACAAAGAAACTCAATGAGTTAAACGTAGAGAAAAAGAAGAAAGAAGAACAACTGAAAGAACTAAGTACAGAGGAATATGCGAAAAAAGTGTCAGAAAAAGCAGCAGAAGTAGCAAAAATGGAACAAGATGTCATAAATTTGAAAAACCATACTACTCAATATAAAGTACTGAAAGATGAAGAGATAAAACAAAAAGCCCTGAAGACATATATGGATAGCGATGAGTATAAAAAAGAAGTTGAAGCAAATGTAAAGGCAGAAAAACTTTTACAGTTGCAAAACCAAACCGTACAGTATGAAAACTTAGCACAAGAAAGTAAAAATGACGACGCGGCTATGCAAAAGGCAATGAAAAGCGCAGAATATATAAAAGCTAACAATGACTGGTTAGATGCCCAAGCCAACGCTAAAGCAGCTCAGCTTATAGGGTCAATAAGGACAAAAATACAAGCGGATGAAGACAGTTCAAATGAAGCTTTAACAAATGCTGACTTTAAGAACGCCTTCGAAGCTCTTCATAGTAAGGTGAAACAAGTGAACGACTTCTCATCTGGAAAGAAACTGAAGTCTGAAGGTTTCGACAAAGAGTTAAAAGAAGTAGCACAAAATATGACGAAAATAACAGATGCAGCAACGAGACAGGAAGTTCAAAGTGCCTATGACGCCGTTAGAGCAACTGTTGTGGAAAGTCAAGAAAAAGAGTTACAACAGACCAAAACAGACCTAGTAAATGCTTTCTTAAGAACGAAAAGTCAGATAGGACATTACGCTGCAGATGGAACTTATATACCACCAAACCCTCCAAGAGAAGCACCTGCACCAGGACTACCTAAAACATTTACGATGAAGTCTCAACAAAACATTGACGATGAAGAACTTGACAAAACATAGACAAGAAAGTTCATGAGAAATTAGATGAAGAAGTCATGACAAAACATTGACGATGAAGTTCATGAGAAATTAGATGAAGAAGTTCATGACAAAGTCTTTACAAAACATTGACGATGAAGTCTCAACAAAACATTGACGATGAAGTCTCAACAAAACATTTACGAAGAAGTCTTTACAAAACATTTACGAAGAAGAACTTTACAAAACATTGACGAAGAAGTTCATGACAAAGTCTCAACAAAACATTGACGAAGAAGTCTCAACAAAACATTGACGAAGAAGTCTTTACAAAACATTTACGAAGAAGAACTTTACAAAACATTTACGAAGAAGTTCATGACAAAGTCTTTACAAAACATTTACGAAGAAGAACTTTACAAAACATTGACGAAGAAGTCTCAACAAAACATTGACGAAGAAGTTCATGACAAAGTCTTTACAAAACATTTACGAAGAAGAACTTTACAAAACATTTACGAAGAAGAACTTTACAAAACATTGACGATGAAGAACTTTACAAAACATTGACGAAGAAGTCTCAACAAAACATTTACGAAGAAGAACTTTACAAAACATTTACGAAGAAGAACTTTACAAAACATTGACGATGAAGAACTTTACAAAACATTGACGAAGAAGTTCATGACAAAGTCTTTACAAAACATTGACGAAGAAGAACTTTACAAAACATTTACGAAGAAGAACTTTACAAAACATTGACGATGAAGTCTCAACAAAACATTGACGAAGAAGTCTCAACAAAACATTTACGAAGAAGAACTTTACAAAACATTTACGAAGAAGTTCATGACAAAGTCTCAACAAAACATTTACGAAGAAGTTCATGACAAAGTCTCAACAAAACATTTACGAAGAAGAACTTTACAAAACATTTACGAAGAAGAACTTTACAAAACATTGACGATGAAGTCTCAACAAAACATTTACGATGAACTAACTTCATCTAGTGAAAGTAGTGGCAATGAAGGAAAAAGAAGAGTTAAAAACTCAGTCAGGAAGAAAGTAAAGCTTGGTCCACGTGGGTTCTATTATGACATATAAATCCAACTATTCTATATTTTTACCCATATGAAATGTACGCCGCTCAGAATATAACGCCAACAGTTTTGGATGCCATGAACGGAAATGTTTCCGAATGGTATAACGAATGCGACAATGCCATTAGAAGGTCAGAAATAGTTCCTGGAACTTACGAATATACAACTGCTGTTTCTTATGGAAACGTAGGTGAGTTTGGAGAAGGTTCTTCAACAACAGTAGATATTGCTTGCGACAGGTTTCATATTATTTCTATTGACAACTCATTCTTATACGTGGAACAAGACATTGAAATAAAACCTTCTGCCAAGTTGTCTGACAAGAAAGGTTGCAATGGAATTTTCTATGTCGGATACCAATATGCTCCAGAAGTTTTCATGGGATATAAGATATATTCTAACTCTGACTTAGTTCAAACAGTAACATGGGCAAACTATGAATGGTTCGCTTTGAGAAACTCAGTACAACCACAAGCTAGAGAACAAACAGACCAGTATGCAACTATTGAGAAAATAAGAAGACTTGACCCTAACGTTCCAGGAGTTTATGTTGACCTTTCTGGACAAACTGCAGCAGCAGTAACCAAAGTAAAACTGAAACTTAGAGTCCCTTTGTCATCTTTCCTCATCTTCAGGTTTTTAAGATACTTGCCAAACTGGGCAGGAAAAATTTCTATCGAACTTACTCCAAGCAAAAATAACTTAGTCATTGCACCAACACAAGACCCATTCACTCTTACAGACGTAAAGGGAGCAAATCAAACGTCATTCGCCGACTTTTGCAAAGACAAAGTTGACTTAGACTTTGGTTTCTCAAACTTCAACACTGAAGTAAACTATTATTTCAATGCTGCTGGAACTGCTTGGGACCCAGTTAAGTTCACATGCGAAAAATTTGAATGCAAGAGAATAGAAAGCAGACTTGCAGTCTATATGTTGGACCCAGATATTTCAAATGCTTTAGCTGCCAAATATATTGCAGTTCCACTTATGTTCCCTATACACCAAATATCTGTCAAAGACTTTGCAGGTGAAGTTGGAAACCAAAGTGCTGACCCAGGTGCAAGAACAGATATTGCTTTAACAACTGCAATGAAACATGCAGATACTATGTTTGTACTGTTCAGACGAACTATAAATGACTATTCTTGTTTCTACAACCCCGGTATTAAATATCATATAAACATAGATGGCAAATATTATCCAAGAGAAGAATATTCTACAGTTGAAGATATGAGGTCATACAACTTGACATTAGATGCTATGAACTTTAACAACAACTTCACAACAACCATTAACCCTGAAATGCAAAGTTCTATTATGCCATATGTGAAAGTATGGACTCATGCAGGAGGTCAAAAAACTCAATATACAAATAGAGACCGTTCAAACTTTTGGCTTGGCATTCCATTTGCTGACTCAGAAGACTTTATGGGTGGTATTTCAACTGTTGGTACAGTTCAAATACAATATACTGGTGACAGAGACGGTCCAGATGAATTGAAAGCAAAGAAGTTTACAAAACCAATAGCACTTTTCACGGAAGATGCTCTTTTGAAGATTCGTTCGATGAAACCTGCTGGGGCTCCTCAGATTGGCATAACGACAGCTTCCATCGAGCAGATTTTGGCAGCAGGTCAGTAAGTTGTTCTTGAACTGACTTCTCTCCGTCAAATATTGACAGTACGCCAGTTTTGACATAAAATTGTAAGATAAACTTACCTTTAGAAATATCTGTAAGTTTTGTTGTTATATTTTTGTCAACGTCAAGAACTTTCACCATTTCAGTTATACCAACTTTCTTTGCTTTATGAAAATATTTTGGTTCAGCAAATATTGCTATTCTATAACATTTTCCATTGTTTGTGTAAAGAACTATTCTGTCAATGTATTTGTATTGTTTGTGAGTATAAACTTTGTTCTGCTTCAATTCGAAGAGATACTCAAATACGTCCATCTTTTTATTCTAAGTAAAATGTCATTTCCGAAAAATAGAAGCGTAAGTGTTTCAAAAGGTTTAATGGCGGTGGCAGATGTGAAGTTAAATTCACCAACTCAAACAAACAGTCAAAGTGTTATTGTCAATGTCAAAGAAAGAGATGTTGAAATGGGGAAACCATACGAAGACCAAGATGGTATAACAATAGTTCCTGTAAAAGAACAACCAACATACCCTGAAGTTAGCAGAGACTTAAGTTCTGTTGCAGATATTCGAAATGACTACCAACAACTTAAAGACAAACTTAAAACTCAGGAGAAGATTTGTCAAGCTTTAGGTATAATGTTAAACTTGGTCGAACACAACCCTGTAAAAGTGAACTCATATGTCATTGCACCTCATGAAGTTTTGAAAGAACTATTGAAACTTTTGACAGAGGCAGACGATATAAACATCAAAGAAATAGAACCCGACATTGCTTGCTGTGGTGTTTCATATAATGTCATTGACAAGATATACGTTATGAAAGGAGGTGAGACGTTGAACTTAAAATATAGTTTCCCAGACGTTATAAAAATATTTGACGACCACAACATTTCATTAAAATTTAGTTGCTAAGTAAATGGCAGAAGACATAGTGGTTTATACTATTACGACTAAAAACCCTGAGTCATATAATTCTATAACAACAAACTTACAAAGTCCTCAAGGACGATATTGTAAACTAACCTTAAACACAATGACGACTAAAGCCTGTTTTGCTCTTTTGACACCAGAAGACTTTGTTGTTGTGAATGGTAAAAAAATACTTCTTTGAAGATACTTACTCAGATATACCACCAACAGGTTTTGTTGACTTATTTAATACTTTAAGGACGGATGTAACATGTGCTGCAACTAGAGCAGGTTTCATTATGTTTGGATGTCCGACTGAGTTTACTATAAACGATATGAGCTATAATACAAAACTTATATCTGGTTTTTACTACCAACAGTTTCCTATAACAGGAAAAGGTGTCATACAAGGAATGTCTATTCCATTGACTTTAAGTACACCTATTTTATATATTGTTTCAAACTTAGGTTCAAAGTGTTATTCGAATGTCGACAGAAACTACTATGACCAAAAGATACTCATGCGTATAAACAACACATTCTCTGCTGGTTTGCCTATTGTTCATTCGAATGCAGAGTTTTCAGCTTTAGTGAACTCAAACACTTTAGCAAACATAAACTTAACCTTAGTCGACGCAAACTTTGTTCCTGTAAAACTTTTATGTCCTATGTATTTGTCAATGACGGCAGAAAGTTTCGAATTGGAAGATGCAACTGGTGAAAGTATTGTATTACAAGAACAACTTCAACAACAAATAGCTCAAGAACAACAAATGCAACAACAAAGTCAAGAATAAAAAAAATATTTTTTTTTATTTTTATAAAAATGTACAGAATAGATGTTTCAGATTTTTATGACTTCCAAGCATTCAGAAATATGTGTCCATTTCGAGACTATAACAAAGCAGTCGAGAATTTGAAACGTTTAGTCATTTATGTCGACTCTGCCCCAGAATGTTATGTTATGAAAGAATGGGATGTAGTCTTTAACAAACCTAAAGCGACAATAGTTTCAGAACAAGAATGTAAACAGAAACTTAAGAAAATAAAAGTCGTACAAGTTGGCATGAAGATGTTAGATGCTTGGGATATCTTATTGTCAAAGTTAGAAGATTTTTCAGTTCGTGGTATAAAGTTCTATACACCTTCTCCAAACTTCTATTCTATCTTCACTGGATATAAATACGAACAAGTAGAATGGAAAGAAAATGTTATAGAAGCTTGGTTAGACCATGTCAAAGAAATTATATGCAATGGAAACGAAAGAGTCTATGAGTATATCTTATGTTGGTTTGCAAACATCTTACAACATCCAAGTGCTAAAAATGAAACTGCTCTCATCATAATTGGAAAACAAGGAACTGGTAAGAACACATTCTTTACAGATATCTTATGCAAACTGTTAGAGGGCTATTCGAACCCGAATATGACAAACTTAGAAAACATCTGTGGCAAGTTTAACTCCTCAATAGAGAATATGAAACTTATAGTTTGCAATGAACTTCAAAGTATAGATACAACAAAAGTTTTGAACTCAGATGCTTTGAAGAGTCTTATAACAGACAAAGTTGGAGTTGTTGAAAGAAAATATAAAGACCAAAGAGTTTGTGAAAATGTTGCAAACTTCGTCATGGTTTCAAACAATGCTGTTCCGATGAAGTTAGAAAGTTCTGACAGAAGATATGTAGTTGTCAGAACGTCAGATTCTCATATGCAAGATACAGAATATTTTGACGACTTAGCAGAAACTTTGACATCTGACTTTTACAACCACTTGTTCTCATATTTCATGACATTAGATATTTCTAAGTTCAATCCAAGACAAATTCCACATACCGAAGAGAGACAAACATTGTTAGAAGCAAACAAGAGTGTATATGAACTGTTCATAGATGAAACTGACTTTGAGTGTTTAGATGAAAGGTCATTGTACGATTCGTATAAACAGTATTGTCAAGAATATGGTTATATGGCAGCTTCTAAACGAACATTCTTGGCAAATGTCAAAAGTCTTTTAGACGTACAGAATGGTGTATATACAAAGAAAAATTTTTCTGAGTAAATTTAAAAAAAAATATTTTTTTTATCCGATAGAAAAGATGACGAAATTCATCTCAGTAAACAAGTATATGTCAGGACTTAAAGAAGAACTTGACCCATTCACATATTTGAATGTTTACTTCTACCATTTTGAAAAGTCTACATTTGACAAAGTTTGGAACATCGAACCGGTTAAGTTTGCTATTGTGACTAAAAATGGTGCGAAATTTGAAGACTTAGACATAGAAGGTTTGTTAACAGTCAAAGAAAGTTTTGACAGAAGGTTTTCAAACCTTAAAGAAGGCAAAGCATACAAACTTGTTATACCTTATGAACCAAAGAAAGCAGACGACTATGAATATTATGAGTCTAAGATAGTTGAAGTTCAAGGTAAATTGGGTAAAAAGATTTTAGAGTCTAAGCCGGTGTTTGCTCCTAAAGAGGAAGAGAACATTGACATTGACCCAGAAATGTTCTAAAAATAAAATTTTATTTTTACATGTCAAATTTCTTTTCTCTGGCTCTGGTTCTTTCTTCTCTTCTTCTACTTTCTTTTCTTTCTTTTCTCTCTTCTTCTTTTCTGGTGGAGTTATGTCAAACTTCTCAGAACCATATTTTTGTAAAAGTTCTTTGTCCTTTAATAGCTCTTCTATTCTGTTTTCTATTTCATCTTCAAGAACAGCGCATGTGTCTTCTTTGCATTCTAAGAAGTTTTGTTGGACTTCATCTCTCCAAGAGGCGTCATCTCTGTCAACAAGTCTGTCATTGACAAATTTTAAGACTGCTCTGCTTAATGTTTTATGGTTCTTGTCATATTCCCAGAAACAGAACTTTAGAACAAATTCACCTTTCTTGTTTACACTATGTAAGATTTTATGGTCGACAGATGTTTTGCTGTCGAAAAGCTTGTCTCGAATATAGATAGCGAAATCGCTAGACATTTTCTAAAAGATAAAAGTTTTAATTTTTCTAAAAATATGTTAGAAAAAAAGTTTGCTGACATTGACAAGAAATTTGAGAATGTTTTAAACAAGAACAAGAGGAAGTTGGAAAATGCTCAGATAAAACCCATACATGACAAGTTCTTATTTGCTCAGAATGGTATAACAGGTCTAATTGCACCACCTGGGTCGGGTAAGACTTTCACTTATCTTAAAATGGCTGCACAACAACAAGAACTAGATGAGAAGAACCCATTCTATGAGTTAGTAGTCATTTGTAGTACTTCGGGTCAATTTGACCAAACCGTCAATTCGTTCAAAGATATTATAAAGAAGTCTAAGTTAGTATGTATAAAAGACTCTGAGTTGTTAGATTGGATAAAGAAGTACCAAAAGAGTTTTGAAGTACAATGCTATAAATGAGTATATAAATTCTAAGTTTAAAGACCCAAATGAGGAAATGCAGAGAATATTAGAGAAGAAACACTTCAGAAACAAACAGAAAGAGATAGAATACATTTCGAAGAAATTGCAATCTTACGATTGGAAGACTTACCCTCATAGATGTCTTCTTATCTTAGATGATTTCGCCTCTCATCCTTTGTTAAAGAACAGAGAACAAGATATGTGTCGAATTCTTAAGAAGCTCAGACACTTCAACATCTCTGTTGTCATTTGTGTACAGACAGCCAAGAGTTTAAGTAAGGATGTAAAGAGAATACTTACTGACATTGTACTTTTCCCCGGATTGTCCGAAGACGATTTCATGGAACTTATGAAAGAGTCCATGGCAGGTAAGTTTGACAGACATGAACTATGGGAGAAGTACAAAGTCATACAAGACCCTCATACTTCTTTCAGAATTCATATCTACGCGAACAAAGTTCAAATTGTAAAAAGTCAAGCGTAAAAAATGTAAGTGTTTAGTCTTAGTCTGTTGTGGTTCTGCAGCTTTCGGTTCTTCTGGCTTTGGAATGGACTCGGTTGGTGGTACGTCGGACATTCGTTTGTGTCCTGTCGGAAGGAAGAACTCGGAATGCCAGAAGGAAGAACTTTTCCTGTTGGAAGGAAGAACTCGGAATGCCAGAAGGAAGAACTTTTCCTGTTGGAAAGAAAAACTTTTCCTGTCGGAAAGAAAAACTTTTCCTGTCGGAAAGAAAAATTTTTCCTGTTGGAAAGAAAAACTTTTCCTGAAGGTCGGCCAAAAAGTTCTCAATTTTCGAAAATTTGAATGGTTTACGGACGGACAACAGAAAAAATTTTTCCTGTCGGAAAGAAAAACTTTTCCTGTTGGAAAGAAAAATTTTTCCTGTTGGAAGGAAGGACTTTTCCTGTTGGAAAGAAAAACTTTTCCTGTTGGAAGGAAGGACTTTTCCTGTTGGAAGGAAGGACTTTTCCTGTTGGAAGGAAGGACTCGGAATGTCGGAAGGAAGGACTCGGAATGCCAGAAGGACTCGGACAAGACAATTTACCTTATAGAGCTACCTGAGCCATCTTTGGTGTCAAGCTTGAAAAATAAATGGTTCATCTACTCTGCTTGTTTGAAGTTGTCAAAATACTCTGTTATTTTTTCTTTCAGTAGCGGTAAATCTTCTTTGAATGTAAGTATTGTACAACCTTTCATATCATAGTGTGTTTGAGGTAAAGTATCTTGAACTATCTGTTTAACATCTTCATTCGGTGTCATTGAAATCGGTAAGTTTTCGCGATAGAACCAATTTCTGTCAGATTTGTAAATCTTAGCAAGGTCGTAAAAGCTTTTGTTGTTTCTTCTGACTAAATGCAACATAACCATATCTCTGTCTTCTTCATTTTCCATCTCTTCAGTATAAATCATATACTTATAGTTCTTTTCCTTACCTTTTGGTACCGAACGTGGTATTCTTTTCTGTATGTTTTTGTCTTCTTTCATCATATCTTCTCTCTGCTTTGTACAAAGTTCGTCAAGTAGCATAAGTATGTAGATTGCATAACGAGGTGAAGCCCACATTGCTATTGAACTAACTAGGAACTTATGAACATATATACCTTTTAGATGTGATGGTAAGTTTTGTCTGTCTTGGTACATCTTTTTAAGTTCTACATGTTCGAACTCACTGAGGAGTTCATGAGTGCTATTTAATTCAAACCAGTCTTGTGGTTTCTTAGTATCTGGAGCAAAACATGCTGTCAAAATACTTTGCATTTGGTACATGTCATCTTTGACCGAACGAATGAGACGTAACTGTTTGTTTAACTGAACCCACTCATATTCTTCACTTATGGCTTCATGAACGATAGCAGTTGTTGTGTTCTCTGTTGTTGACATTACTGTCTTTACATACAAAATAAAAAAAATATTTTATAAAAAACTAGCGTTATTTTCTATCTTGTATAAAAGACCAAAAATAAACGCTTTACATGTATTTTTCAGCAACTTCGTCAAATAATTTTATAGCACTATCTATCTCATCTACTTCAAACGTTTCTTTACCTTTCATGGGAGCACCATACCTTTTCTCAAAAACTTCAAGCAGTTCTGTTTCAGCAGCTCTCATATCGTTAACGAACACAACCTTAACTCTATTGACTGTACTGTCATATCTTTTAGTTATATTAAATGTTCTTCCTATCTTATATCTCTTTGTATTGAAGTCCTTCGGTTTCTGAACGATGTAAAGTAAGCCTTCACTGCAACGTTCAGTATCGAATGAACCATATGTTATGAAATTATATCCAACAACTGGGTCAATCCAGAACAAAACTAGTGGTATAAGACTTTTGTCTATAAGATATGCTGTAGTTCCATGAAATCTTACCGATATCAAAAGCTCAGGATTTCTTGTCAAAATTTTCTGACTAGAAGCATTTCTAACCCAGTCGTGGGATGTTTTCTTTTCAGATAGTGTTAGAATGTCTGACAAGGAATATTTTTTGTATTTCTTTGAGTATCTTACGTTTAAATCCCCTATTCTAACCACTTTGGTCTCATTGTCTATCCTTTTAACTGTTTCAAACTCAGTGTTTGTCATTTTCTGTCTTTACATACAAAATAAAAAAATATTTTACAAAAAACTAACTTTATTTTTTCTATCTTGTATAAAAGATATGATTTCAGGGATTTTTTTGACGAAGTGTCAAAGTTCTCTTCGTAAAAATTTCACGATTTTCATAAGCGTTTTACATGGTAAACGTCATTTTTTTGACGAAGTGTCAAAGTTCTCTTCGTAAAAATTTCACGATTTTCATAAGCGTTTTACATGGTAAACGTCATTTTTTTGACGAAGTGTCAAAGTTCTCTTCGTAAAAATTTCACGATTTTCATAAGCGTTTTACATGGTAAACGTCATTTTTTTGACGAAGTGTCAAAGTTCTCTTCGTAAAAAAAATACAGTTATATCATGAAATTTGGTCATTTTTTTCAGCAAAAATATATTTTAGGTGGAACCAGGTCACCAGGTCACCAGGTCACCAGGTCAAATGAACTTCTCTTAAAATTACTGACAACATGACATTTTGACAACAACACAGGAAATAGATTTCATCGTAAATGTTTTGTCATGATTTCATCGTCAATGAGCGTAAATGTTTTGAAGAACTGAAGTGTGCCTATGTGCCCATGTGCCTAGGTCAAATGAACTTCTCTTAAAATTACTGACAACATGACATTTTGACAACAACACAGGAAATAGATTTCATCGTATATGTTTTGTCAAGACTTCTTCGTCAATGTTTTGTTGTTGTATTTCATCGTAATGAGTGTAAATCAGGCAAAAATATATTTTAGGTGAAGAGGTGAGATCTCACCTGTTTTCTCACCTCTTTTTTCACCCCATATGTCCTTACTGAAAAAGTATGTGTTCCATATGTCATTTTACTCAGAATTCAATAAAAAAATATTTTAGGTGAAGAGGTGAGATCTCACCTGTTTTCTCACCTCTTTTTTCACCTCTTTTTCACAAGCGTCTTACATGAATTGTACGATGTATATTTGAAATCCTACAGTTTTGTGGCTTCGATTTCCTCTGTCAGTACATCGAATGTTTTAACAATGCCGAAGGTTTCTTTATATTTCTTCGACATCTGAAAGAAGGAAATCGTCAGCAGTTGGATAGTTTTTGTTTCAGAAATGCTAAACATGTCCATTTTATCTTCTGCTGGTTCTCTGCTTCTTTCTTTAAGTCAGCGTAGTCTTTCGCATACGTTCTATCTCTTTGACGGAGTAGTTATATTTCCTCATTGCTGCTTTACATTTTGGGTTCATTTTTGCGTTATATTCTGAAACCTTACCTGCTAAACAACTAAGGCGTCAATGTTTTCTTTAACTCAAAAGTTGCGGGTTTTATCTGTTGGTTCCATACCTTACCTCTTCTATCTTCATCTCTTATCTGCCATACACATTCAGCAACTAACGAAACAAAGTTGTCGTAGTCTTAAACTCCCCAGATTTATATATGTCAGAGATGTTCTATATAACATGTCGCAGTCTTTGTCCATGACTTTGTGGTTGCAATGAATCCAAGAAACTCATAGTTTACCTTACGTATGAACTTCTTTTATTTCTACTGAGTCAGTTGCTTTGACTTCTATTTCATCGAATTCTGGAATAGTGAGCTTTTGTTTGTTGGATTTCAGGAAGTTTAGGTAGATGGTCAATAATATCCTGCATTTCATAAAGATATTCTTCATTTGTTTCATCTTTTGCAGTGCAATCTAAATCTCCTTGGAGAAGTTCCTGCTTTATCTTCTGGATTTCTGTTTCGAAAGTATATGAAGAAGGAATGAAGCTTTTCATCTCTACTAACATAGATGTTGGGTTCATGACTAACGAGTTTGTTGCTGTTGTTGCTAACATGTTCTTACAATAAAAATAAAAAATATTTTTTTAAAAATACTAACTCACCTTTTTTCTATCTTAAGGAAATTCATGAAAATTCAAGAGGGTGAGAAAACAGGTGAGAAAACGGGTGAGATCTCACCACTTCACCTAAAATATATTTTTGGTTCATTTACACTCGTTA